GAGACACCTGCTCAATCATGTTTATTGCTGCTTTATTCAGAGTAGCCAGAAATTGAAACACTGTAGCTGTCCCTCAACAGATTAATGGAGAAAGAAATGTGATACATTTACACAATGGAATATTACTCAGCTGTTTAAAAAAATAAATCATGAAATTTGCAGGTAAATGGATAGAATTAGAAGAAAAAAAAATCATCCTGAGTGAGGTAACCCAGATCCTGAAAGACAAATATGGTATGTACTCACTTATATGTGGATATTAGCTGTTAAATCAGTGATAATCAAGCTACAATTAATATAACCCCAGAGGTTAAGGTACAGAGTAAGGGACTAGGAGGAAAAGATAAATGTCCCTAGAAAGTAGAACAAGTAGTTACAGATGGGGGACAGGGATTTAGAGTAGGAGGATCCAGAGGGGAGAGACATCTAAAATGAAGACCCATTTGAGGGGTGGTGTGGAAACATAATACAGCAGAAGCTTCCTAAAATATATCCATATGTGAAGGCGATCTAAATGAAACAGCCAAACAATGGTGAGTCAGAGCCTCACCTGGACATCTCTTGTCACCAAATGAAGCTTCCGGTACTGGGAATAGGTTGGCCACAGGGGTTCCATGGATCCCTTTTGCTCCCTCATCCCAGCATCACGGACTCTCACCCTCTGAAACCATCAGCCCGATTGAACAGTCTCTTTCATAAGTTGCCCTGGCCACGGTGTCTTATCACAGCAGCAGAAAAGTAACTAAGACAGAGGGACAGCAGTGGTCACCTGTGCCTCAACTTTCTTACTGCATCCAAAGACAATGAGTCTCCATCAGAATAAGTGAAAGGTGCGACTTTACCAAACACATTGTGCCCGTTAGTTTTTATTGTCCACTTGATACATTTAGGGAAGAGAGAAATTCGATTAAAGAGTTGTCTAGATCAGATTGGCTGTGGACATATCTGTAGTGCATTTTCTTGATTGGTAGTTAATGTGGGGAGGCCCAGCCCACTGTGCATGGTGCCATCATGCCTGGGCAGCTTTCTTCCATGGTTCCTGCTTCCACTCACACCTTAAGCTCCTGCCCTGGCTTCTATCAATGATGGACAGTTAGCTGGAAGTGTGAACAGAAATAAACCATTTGCTCCCCGAATTGCTTTTGGTCCTGGTATCGTTTACAGCAACAGAAAGCAGATGAGAACACACGTGAGGACATTAATACACAGCTTCGGTGCCTAGCTGAGCAAGTGTGGGTAGTACGAGATGAGGCAGAGAACACTTTTCAGTACGTGGCACCTGTTGGGATCATTCACACTCTGAATGGACCCTGGAGTCTAAGCAGCAAGCTAGCCCAGCTCACAGATAGCTGTAGAGATGCTGTGGGACACCATCAGGGATTGGAAGCATTGCCCACATCTCGTCTGTTTTTCTCCATAGATGGTGGGTAGATGGTGATAAAAACCACAGATTTCAGAACTTAGAAGGACTGGCAGAAGCATCCACACACTGACCCTCCACTTTGAAAGTACTATTCCTATAAATTTGGGTTTTTGTTACTACATGAGTTTCAAACACATCTAAAATTGGAGAAAATGTATAATGAAGTCCCATAAATCACTGACGAGCTTCGAAAACCAGATACACAACTGATCTTGCTGATGGGCTGTCCCTATGCCAGTTCTTTCCAGTAGTATTTGGAGGCAGAAATCAGATTTTATTATATAGTTTTATCCATAAATATCTCAATATGTATCTAAAAATAAAGGCTTTTCAAATAAATATAACCACAACACCATTATTGCAGAAAATGTTAAGCCCTCAATATCAATACCTACTGATTATCAATTTTTAATTGTCTCATAAATACCATAGTTCTTTAACATAACTGTTTCAGGATTCAAATAATTTCAAATATTCTATAGATTTTGTATTTTCAAATAGAAACAAAATCCAAAATTAAGTTTCTTTATTCCTCCCTTATATTTATGGAAGTACAGTAACAGGGAGAGTATGTTTTATTATTATAAAGGTCTTGCAAGGCTGTGTTAGTCACTAGAAATCTATTCTCATGGGTCCTGTGTCTAGAGCCTCACACAACTAGAAGCATTTGGCTGTTGAGCTGCAGAACATGTTGGCAGATGGGTCATTTCCCAAGGGAGTCCAGTCACATTGGCAGTTAGTTACCCCATCTATGCCCCCAGCCCTCCAGTGCTCCTGTGTGGCCTTATTAAGTTAAAAGGTTCATGGAGCCTCTGCTGTAAGATAGCATCTTCTGTGCATGACAGGAAAGCTGCACCCATTAAATCTCGACAATATGGTCACCTAAAGAAAACCTCCACCGTGACACCACCTGATGACATTCTGTCATGAACGGGAAAATCTCACAAAGCCCCCCCTCTAGAGGAAGAGCTTCAGGCAATTGAGGGCTGCTGAGAAAGGGGGAATCAGTCTTCCCCAGGGACTAGCCTCCTGATAGACTATCCAACCCCAAGTGGTCAGCCCTAAAACCATACACATACAAGTAACACTAAATGGTCTTAGCAGGTTATATGTGCGAGTGAGTGTGTGTGTGTGTGTGTGTGTGTGTGTGTGTGTGTGTGTGTGTGTGTGTGTGTTGTGTATATGTATGTCTGTAATAAAAACAAAGATGAGGTAATGAAGTCAATAGGGAGTGGAAGGGACATGAGAAGGGTTAGTGAGGGAAATCTCTACCCCACCCTCACCCCCCCCCCAAAAAAGGGAAACTAAATATAAATTTAAAAAGAAAAAGCTTGAGGGTGCAGATGCCTGTGAAGCCACCAGGGGGCACTCGAGGAACTTGCTGAAGATCAGAGCCGCCTAAAAGCCAATTGGGCAGCTGCATCACAGAGGAGAAAGAAACGCCCAGATGAAGCTGGACTTTTCCCTGGTGCAGGCCAGATTCTGCCAACAGAAGGCAACAGGCCTCAGGAAGCTGTGCTTCGTTCCCACACTGCTGGGAAAAGGCCAACATTAGCCATCATGTCTTATCAGAGGATTTGGTGGTTTTTAGTCCTCCCACTGGGCAACGGTTTTCCTTACATATCTGCTAGACAAAAGAGAGAAATGTACAGATGTGAGCACTTGGTAGCCCTGTCGCTCTTGGTGTTTGGTTTTGTTGCTTACTTGTTTGTTTGGGGGGAAGAAAAGGGTTTATTTCAGCTGACAGTTCTCTCAGGTCACACTTCATCCCAGGGGCAAGTCGGGACAGAATTTAAGACAGGAACCTGGAGACGGGAACTGAGGCAGAGGTCATCGAGGAATGCTACTTACTGGCTTGCTCTTCTGTTGAGTCCTGCTCAACCAGCTGAACGGTTCTGGAAGGGGGAGTGTGGAATTAAGAAGTGATATCTATGAAATACAGATGTAGATGAAGAAAAAGACAGAGACACAGGATAGCTTCAGGAGGGCTCTGGGTCAATACCACAGACCCTGAGTTTATTACTCACAGCCTTTAAATATCCAAAAGCAAGGTGGGGCAAAAAGACCTCCCACTTTCAAGGACATCACAGTTCAAAGTACGAAGTACAGTTAAGTGTAAATGCCTCCTTAGCACTTAAGACATCTGGTGACCACGCCTATGGCAAAACATCCTGTAATTAGGCCTTGAAGTATAAGACACCTGGTAACCACGCCTTTGGCCAAAACATCCCATTATGCAGCCTTACAGGGCAAAACAAGCTCGGACTCTCTGACCCTGAGTCAAGATGAAAACAAGCCACAAGCTGGAGTCTCTGTGGGCCCCCACACTCTTCCCATCATTCTTAGTTCATATCTCCATTACTAAGTAAACAAAGGCAGCTGCATTACAAACAGTATTAACGCCACGTTACACACCTAGAAAAAGACTCAAAGCCGGCAACCTAGACACCCAGATTCTCCAATGGACCTGGCAAGTATCCCCTCCATCTACCTCCTTGCTAGAAACGGAGGAGGATGAGACAGAAGCCGTTCACAAACGGCTAAGTGGCGGCGCTTGTCAGCCATGCCGACGGAGGAGAGCGCTGGTTGGCGGAAAAATCACGAGCCATGGCTACCTTTCTAGAGCTTTATTGGGAGAGAGAGGGAGAGAGGGGGGAGAGAGACAGAGAGACCGCACGGAGGGAAGAGAATGGAAGGAGAGAGTGCGGAGAAGAGAGAGGGCACAGAGGGCACACCGCTCTTTAGGCTGGGAAACTGCCGCCGTCGCAGGCTGGTGACGTAATTAGGGACATAATCCTTGCACCTTCTCTCCTGGTTAGTTTTGCCTGGCACTTACACGCCAGCAGTCCACATTCCCTGATGTGTTGTATTCCCAGATCTCAGTTATTCACAGTTAGCAGCCACTGTCTGAACATGTTAAGAAGGAACTTTCAGAAACACTTTCTGCTTTCTTTTTTCTTCCTTTTTTCTTTTTTTTTTAAGTTTATTTATTATGTATACAGTATTCTGTCTGCATGTATGCCTGCACGCCAGAAGCTCTCATTACAGATGGTTGTGAGCCACCCTATGGATGCTGGGAATTGAACTCAGGACCTCTGGAAGAACAGGCAGTGCTCTTAACCTCTAGGCCAGGCCACACTTCTGTTTTCCATCACTCCCCATGTGGAGTTGTGTGATGAAGCCTCTACTCGTATTCTCCGCAAAGACGAATCACCCCTTGGTCTGAAGGTCAATGCCTCCCTGTTTTCCACTTAGGAGCAGATTGAAATCTCAGTGCCACAGAGTTCTTGTTTAGGTAATCCCGATTGTGATTAATAACAACCCCAAAGCTCAAGAGTAATGATGCTGGTAATTCAGACAGTAAAAAATACAGAACAAAGTACTTTCAAGAGAGGAGGGGCCGGGCGGTGGTGGCGCACGTCTTTAATCCCAGCACTCGGGAGGCAGAGCCAGGTGGATCTCTGTGAGTTCGAGGCCAGCCTGGGCTACCAAGTGAGTCCCAGGAAAGGCGCAAAGCTACACAGAGAAACCCTGTCTCGAAAAACGGAAAAAAAAAAAAAAAAAAAGAGAGGAGGGGCCACGTTCACAAAACTTTTATTGCTATCATAGTTATAGAATTAGTATATTGCAGTATATTATAATTATCCTACTATGAATTACTATTAGTTATTGTTTCTTTCTTACAAATTATACTTTATCATAGGTATATATGAATACAGAAAAACACAACATACAGAGGTTGATAGTCTACCATAGTAGCTTCAGCCATCTACTGGGGGACTCCTGAAATGTACCCTCTGTAGATTAAGGGGGCCACAATAGCTTCCTAAGGCTGCTATAACAAAATACTCCAGCTAAGTGACTTGAAACAACAGAAATGTTCATCTGTCACATGCTGTGCTGGCAGCCAGATGTCCATCGTGGGTTTGTTTGGTCCTTCCTGAGATGGAAAACGGTCATCTTTGTGGAGGGGCCCCAAAACAGCTTGACCACACAGTAGCCATGACAGGCTTAGGGGCCTAGGCACAGCTTCTGTGACAGGCTTACTGGCAGGCAACACCCAGATCCAGGAAAAGCCTTAAGCTGATACCACCCAGGGATCCACCCAGGGGTGAGGAAGTACCTGACATCCCAAACGTTCCAACCATTAGATAAGGTGGCCAAATGTCCTTGAGTCTAGCACACACCTGTTTTTTGTTTTACAGATACTCCCTAGACAATTGTCAGCCAATCAGGGTCCTAGACCCTGGAATCCCCTTATCCCAACCTCTGCTATGATAAAAACTCTGCCCCCACCTGAGCTCAGGGCTCTCTGCTCTCACCTCTGTGTCAGACAGACAGAGGGACCAAGCTCTGGAGCTTGAAATAAAGGTTCTTTGCTTTTACATGCGGTATTCGGTCTCCGTGGTGGTTTTTTTGGGGGTCCCTGTGATCTGGGCATAACAATCTTCATCTAGTGTCTTCACATCATCTTCCCTGTGTGTGTGAGTGTGTGTATGTGTTTTAAGTATGTGTGTCTGTATGTATCTTTTATAAGAACACTAGGCATTAAACTGGGGCCTGAGGCCTCAGAGACCTCATTTAACATAAGTACCTTGGAAATCTCTCTAAAAAGGCAACATTTTGAGGTATGGGGGACTAGAACCTCAACAAGTCTTTTAGGGGAATATACATAATTCAGCTCATAATAGGAACCGTGTTTTAGGAAAGATGACTTTTAAAAGCCTGTGTTGACAAAGTCTTATGAGTCATAAATGCTAGTGGGTCACAGCACCCTAAGGACTCAAGGTAAAGTTATAAATCCATAGGGCATCATAACAATACATGGACAAAGCTAGTTGTTTCTACAATAACACATATAGAAAGCTATATGAAGCAATTTTGGTGAGGATAACAGCATTATAAACCACATGAGCTTTAAGACCTAAATGATGATACATGTACTACATTGGGTAATTGCCTGATGCTAAAATGTAAACTGAGGCACAAAAAAAAGTTTTAGAGTATATTTGAGCAAGCACTAATTGGTACTAGGCAGCTCCAAACCCAGTGTGGTCCAGGTACTTCGCATGGGAACTCATCAGGGCGGCATGGAAGCCAAGCCAATGTGATTGGTTACAGTTCCACAGCTGTTTATTTGGTCTCCTCCCATTAGAGAGTTTCCAGTTATGTAAGTTGTTTGTCTACTTCTGATTGGTTGCATTTAAGTTTTGTTTTTCTTTAATATGCAAATGTACAAGAAGTAGTTCAACTTACGGTTTGCTTAGGTTTTCAAATCAAGCAAAGCTAAGGTCATGTAGAAGGAAAACTCCAACTGTGTGGCTTTTTATGGTTTGGGCCTGGCCTCCATTTTAATACTTTAACACTATGGTCAGCAGTACAGAAAATCAAATCCAAGTCAAGAGAGAAAGGGAGAGGGAAGGAGAGGGGAGAGGGAGGGAGGTAGGAGGGAAAGGGAGGAAGGGAGAGAGGGAGAGGAGGGAGGTGAGAGAGGTCAAAAAGGGGAATTTATGTGCTCAAACTATATTCTTAGAGGTGGTTATTAAAATGTTAGGAGTTGTATGTCACTAAGTCATGAGTAAAATAAAACTGCCTTTTTCCCCTTTGGAGCCATATCTGTCTCAGTCTAATCTCAGCTGTGCCGTTTTCTGGCAGGATGGGGGAAGTGAACTCAGTAGCTGGACAGCCTGTGTCACAGCTTGATGTACCTGGTTTGTAAAAGCCCTTTTGTTCTGGGCTTTTGTTAAAGGGGAACTTGGGCTATGGGAGAAAGGAGGGTTTAAGCTTAACTTACACAGGAACAAAGCTTTGTACCTAACATCTGCCTGGCCTTGGTGGATATTTACCTTACTTCAGGAGGCTAGCAGGTGGTTTGATGCTTATCTGCAGTCTGCCCTTGGATGTTTGAGAGATGTCTCAGATAAAATGCTTTTGTCCAGAGATGGCCCTGGCCAGATACTTGCTCATGGAGATAATTATAGAAAGGCAAACTTCTTGGTCTAATGATAAACAGGAGAACAAAAGCCTGGGGATCTTATCCAAATACCCCAATAGGGGAAATTGTGCCTAATAAATTATCAATCAAATGGAAAAGCTATAATAGCACACAAGAAATTCACTGTAGGAGATAGCTAATACATACAAAAGCAGTATCACCAAGACTCCTTGATTCTTGGCTTTATCCTCTGGAAGAGTTCTTTTTGCTACCGTCAACTGAATTCCTATTTCATATTTCTGTGGCTCGCAGCACTTTTTATAGTGAACACAGGTTATCCATACACATCGTACACAGTAAATGTTCACAAAATCAGATTCACATTCCTTCCAAGGACCACAGGTGGGCTGTGGTTCTCCAGGGTTTCAGTCGGAATGCTCATGGCCCAGCAGGCACTGGTCCCCACAGGCCCCACTTCAGCTCCTGCCATGGCCGCTCGATGAACAGCGTCAGGGCCAGCCCACAGAGGAAGGTCAGCACACAGTGTCCAGAGAAAAGATAGAACTGTGGACAAAGAGGGCACAGCGGACAGCTTACTCCATAGGTCCCCCCATGTTTGGCTCTGAGAGTACAGTGCCCCCATGCCATGAGGCAGAGCCAGGAATACACAGCCCCAAACATCAGAACAGTTTACCCTGGACTGAAGTCCTTCCCCTCCCTCCTTCAGCTAAATCCTGGAGCAGAGCAACTCTAGAAAAGAGCAACAAAAGCCAGCTGTTGGCTCTGCTGCTCAAGAAGAGCAAGTGGTGGAGCTAAGGCAGGACCCAAGGCCAGGCCCTCGCTCACCATATTGGTGTCAGTATAGTGAAGAAGGGTCTCCTGCAGTCCGTTATAGAGGATGATCACTATGGGGTGGACGAGGTAGCAAGCGTAACTGATGCTAGCTGGGAGACGCCAGATGCCGCAAGAAAGCACACGCGTCACCAGACCTGGTGGGAAGAGGGACAGAGTCACAGAGTCGCAAGCCCATCTGTGATGCTACCTTACACATTGCAGTATTCTCTTTTTAAAAGAGCACGTGTGTGTGTGTGTGTGTGTGTGTGTGTGTGTGTGTGTGTTGTATGTTTGTGTATATGTGTGCACTCTGTGTGTGTGTGTGTGTGTGTGTGTGCATGTGCATGTGTCTCTTGGAGGCCAGAAGAGGGTGTTGGATCCCCCAAAGCTAGAGCTAGAAGTGGTTATGTGAGCTGGCCAACATGAGTGCTAGAGCTAAACCTGGGTCCTTCAGCAGCAAACACTCTCAATTGCTGAGTCATCTCTCCAGCCCCCGCAGGCCCCTGTTGTGTCTCTAGACATCCCCTGGCCTCCCCCTGCCCCACTCTACTGCAATGCCTTGCAAGAGAAGAATTCTTTCTTATCTATTGGTGGACCTTAAATGCATAGAACGTCGTCTGGCACAAAACAAGTATACAAACACATTTATGCAATTCAATGACTAAACCTGGAAACACTCAGCCCAGCCCCCAACCCCTGGTAACACCTGGGGTCCCTTTGGTGACTGCTTCCACGAGGCCTGGAAGATGCGTGTCCTATCAGAAGTTGGGGCCACTTGTTTTCTCTTTAAGCCACGGGGTCCCACCATGTTGGCTGAGGCTAATACTAAACTCATCCAATGATGTCCCTAGAGTACACAGCTGTCCTGCCCACTCCCCATCCCCACCCTCCACCCCTGGGCTCTGCTCCATGGCTTTCAGGATTCAAGGAAGTTTGGAAACAGAGATTTTTCCGGGTGGTGCCTGAGTGGTGTTTGGTGGTACCTCTTTACCTCATCCCTACCTCAGGCCAAATAGAGACGTGGGGGAAGGAAATGCCAGGAGTCTTGAACATTGTTCTCTCTCTAATCGGGAGAAAATTCCTTTCTTTCTATATATGCCCGTCATCTGCTTGCCCCCTCTGCCCAGCAAAAGCCAACGGCACAAAAATGTTCCCTCTGGTTATGGAAGGGACCTTAGTGACTCTTTAACCTCCTCCCCTCAGACAGAAACTGAGGCCTAAGGTGAGTGTGATCAGTCCTCTGTTACTATACCACCTCATTTTCTCACTGTTTTTTCAGAGTTCTTGTCTAGCCTCTTAACTAGCTTTATGGGGAGACCCAAACCTTGTCTTTCAGAACCTACCTTATAAGGTACATAAACCAACACAAAAAATAATAGATCGAGCGTTATTTACCCCAAAGATAGAGACAAAGTATTCTTCCTGCGTTGGTATCAATCATCCCTCCCTACCTCTGGGTGCACACCTTGTCTTTTAACTTTGTCACCCTCTGGAACAGGGTGTGAGCCCAAGAGCAGAGCCAGTGGCCCCCTCCTACCTCCATAGCCTTCCTGACAGGCAAAGATGACCCAGCCCACGGCTGCCGCCCACAGGGTCCGATGGAGGGCCTGGTAGATGGCAGCAGCCATAGGAGAGGTGGGGGAGGTGTCATCCACTATGTATGCCAGCGAGACAACTGCAAACAGCGTCAGCAGAGAGAAAGTCCAGCCCAGCGTGGCCTGCATCTGAGGGGAACAAGGGGCAGTTCACAGCTGTGAATCGCTGCATCCTTTTGCATACGCTCGCTTCTTTGCAGCCATTTCTATCACTTGAGATCTCTGGGTGTAAACCTCAATCACTACAGATTTCACTAAAACATCAGCTTAGTGGTAGGCAGGGGTTAGGAACAATGCCGGTGAAGGGGGTGTGTACCTATAAAGGGATGAGCTGAGCTGGGTGTGGTAGCATATACCTATAATCCTGTTGCTCAGGAGACCGAGGCAGGAGAACTGTGAGTTCAAAGCCAACTGGGCTACACAGAGAGACCAGATCTCAAAAAAACAAAAAGTAATTGTAGAAAATAATAGCCCATTGAGTGACACAATGACTCTGCATGTTCAACTGTCATTAGATCACTTTCATGCACATACATCATGTGCTTGGATCAAATTTGCTCCCTACTAATCCACACATACCCCATCTTCCCTCCCTCTGGACACCTTCCCATCCTGATAGTCTCTCTGCTCTTCTCACACATTTAGTTTTTAATACACCTCAGTCTATTCAGAGACAAGCAGGGAGGATTGGGGTGAGGGATTAAGGGCTTATGGTGACAGAAGAGCCCTTGCTCCTTGATTGCAGTGACATGTACAAATCTCTACACAGGACAGCAATTTCCAGAACTACACACACACACACACAAAGACGTACAGGGGATACTAGCAGTCTAAGGTCCCGGAGTTGAGCAATGTCAGTTCCTGGGGATGATAATATACCATGGTGTGGGAGCCTGTTCTCGGGTTCCTCGTGGCTTTACCCAGCAGGTCCACATAGAGGATGATTAGGACCACGGGCCTGAGTGCAGGTGTCTGAGATGGTCTGCACTTGGCTGTGCTGGGGGGAGGTCTTTTGCTCCACCCCTTGGCATCTCTATAAACACCCTGGGGCAGAGACAGTCGGGGTTCGTTGGAATAGCTTCCAGGCCCTCTTAAGGCTATCCTTTATTTTTTATCTATTTATCTCCACAAGATCCTCCACAATAAATCCTTCTATCTAATATTTCCTGCTGCTCTCACTCAAGAATACTCTGTGGACTGTGGGGTTGGTGGGTAAACACCCCGCACCATGATTCCCTGGCATGGTGCCTGATGCACAGCCTGAAGGATGCGCAGGGCCTCTCACACTGTTTTGTTTTGTTTTTACAATTTCCCACAAATATATAATCAGTTCAGAATCAGTTAGAAGAGAACTTTCCTCTCCAACACTCCCTCTACTCCTAATGTCCCACTCTGTCCCTTAATCAAAAGGATGCCTCCATCCCCTGGCTTGGTTTAAGTCCTGGATTTTATGCTACATGTCTTAATCTCTTCAGACCCAGACCTATCTTCCAAGGCTCTCTTGCTTCTCTATGCTCTAGCTCGTAAGCCGCCATGATGACCAAGCTGAAGTAAGAAGCTTGTCTACCCTCTTGTCTCTGAGACCTACTTGGAGCTCAACTACCTGTCCTCGGTTGGCTGTAGAGAAGGAGAGGAAACTGTCGGGGGGTTCCTACTCTTTTAGTTTGAACTAAGTCAGTCTCAGCCCCTCACCCTTTGCTAAATCTTAGTGTCAACAAGTCCGCGATCTCAAGAAATACAGCTGAACCCATGCTGTCCTTCGCCCCTTGCCTACCTGTCTGCTCACAGGGCCCTCCCTGCCTCATCCCCAGCAGATACCGCATGCTTGGCTTCCTCTGGTAGGAACCGGAGTTCTCCTTCTTCCCAGCACTCAGTTTTGTTTCTCCAGCTCAGTCTGTATCCCTAGCTGCATGCTCCCGACCCCAACACTGCCCTTGACATGGTTCCCCAATGCTTCCCTTTGTCTTACCTTCTCCCCTTGGCTAATAAATACCCTGTGCTCCCTGGAACCTCGTGTCACCTGGGCTGTGTTCAAGGGTCTCTTGGATGGCTCTGTGTTACATTCTACAGCCAGACAGTGCATTTCCAGAACATCAAAATGCTGACATGTAAAAGGTACACTCTTCTATACAGTCACTTGTCCTGATGAATCTTTCTGTTTGCTTGCTTGTTTGTTGGGGTATTTTTTTTGTTTTTTGTTTGTTTGGTTTGGTTTGGGGGTTTTGTTTGGTTGGTTGGTTTGGTTTGGGATTGAGGGAGGGTTGGTTTCTCAAAAGAGGGTGTCTATGTGTAATCTTGGCTGTCCTGGAACTTGCTCTAACTCACAGAGATCCACCTGCCTCTGCCTCCTGAATGCTTGGATTAAAGGTATGAGCCGCCACACCCAGAAAATTCTATTTCTTCCTGTTGCTGTCAGTCATAGAAGTTTTCCTAAGGACCAGAGTCTCTTTTCTGAACTGTCTATGACAAAACCAAGGCCAATGAAGGTCATACAGAGCCCTTGGAGGGGCAAGAATTGTGCCCCAATAGTGCAAGTGGATTCTTGGTCCTTTAGCTCAGAAAGGAAAAGTCCTCCTCACGGTTTAGCATGGATATACAACACACTGCATCACAGTAATGAATCCAGCAGCCTGGCTCCACCTCCACTTGGAAGAGCCATGTGAGAGAGGCCACGCCAATCTTAGCCAGACTCAGGCCCTTACGGGGAGGCAAGGGGACAACATACCGTAGTTTTGAGAACGCTTGTAGGGTGGTCCGAATGCATGAACATGCTCAGGAAGAGGCCCACAAGGAACGGGCCGCACCGGCAGTAGGGCTTGGTATAATACTCTGAGAAATACAGTGCAGTCTCGTTTTCACTGGAAACAAACAAGGAAGCAGGGCAGAAGCTCAGTTTTGAGCTGGATGAGGAAAAGGGAACGTCCTCTGGGGTGATCCACAGGTCTAGAGCCAGATTTCCCAATAATGCAATAATGATCCATACACAGTGACCACCTAGGCCCTAGACTCTAGGGCCTTGTGTCACAGCTGGCTTGTTTAAATTCTAAATTCCCTTGGGCTCCGTACCCAGATCTCAAAGACATGTGATGATTTCATTTGTTTTAAATCCTTCTTCGTGGTGGCTGATCCACCGCCTCTAGGGGTGAATGGAGTGCCCAGAAGGATCTGGGAGAGTAGGGGAGTTCCAAACGAGCTGGAGACATTTGAAAGCTGGGACGTGATGGTGAAGACTTTTAATCCCAGCACTTGGGAGGGAGAGGCAGGCAGATCTTTGTGAGTTCTGGGCCAGCCTGGTCTATATAGCTAGCTTCAGGACAGCTGGGGGGGCTGCATTGAGAGACCCTGTCTCCAAAAGAAGAAAGAGAGAGAGAGAGAGAGAGAGAGAGAGAGAGAGAGAGAGGAAGAAGAAAGAAAGAAAGAAAGAAAGAAAGAAAGAAAGAAAGAAAGAAAGAAAGAAAGAAAGAAAGAAAGGAAGGAAGGAAGGAAGGAAGGAAGGAAGGAAGGAAGAAAGAAGAGAGAAGAAGAAGCAGGAGAAGAAGCAGGAGGAGGAGGAGGAGAAGGAGAAGAAGGAGAAGAAGAAGGAGAAGAAGAAGAAGAAGAAGAAGAAGAAGAAGAAGAAGAAGAAGAAGAAGAAGAAGAAGACGACGACACTATTCAATGCTGTGATCATCCCCTGGCACTACCAGCTGCAGCCTGTTAAACCTGAGAACCTATTAGGAAGCCAAACTCATGCCTCCCCCAAGAACACTGATGAGGAGGAAGCTGGCAGAGGACATGCATGGTAATACACCCTCCAAGTGATCTCATTGTCCTTCGAGTTTGAAAAGCCCTGCCCACAGTATCCATCACAGACGTCCAGCTGACACCAAGACCTATGAAATCTGAATCTGGACGTGGGACCCAGGGCTGAGGATTATCTAAGTTCCCTGGCACTCTAAAGTACAGAGAAGCTCGAGAATGCCTGCTGGGAAGCTTTCACTGTTTCCCAAGGAGGCTGGAAGATGCATTCAGCTGAGGCCCCCTCGATGTCCACACAGGGATGATCAGAGGAGAGGAAGTTGCTGGAAGATCAGTGGGTGGTTCTCCAGCTCTGACTAGGAACTCTTTAAAACATCATTTCCCTGGGCACCAGCACCAGGAAGTCTAAACAATTGGTCCAAGTTAAGACTGGAAGCCTCTGTTGGACCTAAAAGCTTCAGTGGTGGTACACACCTCAGTCCAGCAGTCAGGAGACTGAGGTAGGAGGATCATGAGTTCAAGGCCAGCCTGCATTGCTCAGTGTGTTTGAGGCCAGCCTGAGCTACAGAGTGAGACACTAAAAAAAAAAAAAAAAGAAAATAGAAAACAAAAAAAAAAAAATCCCAACAAATAAATTCTCCCCAAGGGGCTCTAATGAGCCCCTAGAGGTAGGAACCATGGGGCTACACATAAGTAAGCTGCCTCCCCTGCCGCCAGGGCACCCACAGAAGCTGACAATGTAAGGGCACATGCTCTCCTACCCAGGAGGCTTGCAGTGAAGTCATTTGCACTTACATTTAGTTCTGGGCCATGGTGCGTGTGTGTGTGTGTGTGTGTGTGTGTGTGTGTGTGTGTGTGTGTGTGTGAGAGAGAGAGAGAGAGAGAGAGAGACAGAGAGACAGAGAGACAGAGAGACAGAGACAGAGACAGACAGAGAGAGACAGAGAGAGTGAGACAGAGAGAGAGAGACAGAGAAAGAGAGAGAGAGAGACAGAGAAAGAGAGGGAGAGGGAGAGGGAGAGGGAGAGGGAGAGGGGAGAGGGGGGGGAGAGGGAGAGGGGAGAGGGGGAGGAGAGGGAGAGGGAGAGGGAGAGGGAGAGGGAGAGAGAGAGGAGTTTCGGATAGCCTGCAGGCGCTGACTGAGCTATCTTCCCAGCCCCTCTAGGCTTATGGTTTTGGGGGGCTGTTTGTTTTGTTTTGTTTTTTGAGACAGGGTTTCTCTGTGTGCAGTTTTGGTTCCTGTCCTGGATCTCGCTCTGTAGACCAGGCTGGCCTCGAACTCACAGAGATCCCCCTGGCTCTGCCTCCCGGGTGCTGGGATTAAAGGCGTGCATCACCACTGCCACCCGGCTAGGCTTATGATTTTATTGGGAGGTCAGGAAGGGCTGCTTTGGAAAATGTGACATTTGCATGGACATCTGGAAAGACGGGCGGGGGGCAACCCTGACAGACCCCAGACGCTGATGGAAGATCGTTCTAGACTGAGAGAACAGCAGAACCACGGGCTCCGGTGTGGCTGGTCTGAAGTCAGCAAATAAAAGGTTGCAGCCAGGTGGCTTTGGCTTTGAGCTTCCCAATGGCTCGCCTGATTTTCACGCATGCGGTGCTGACTGCTGTATTGAGAAGAGTCTAGCTCCTGTTTATACACGGACTTCTAGGGCAGGATCAGAAGGAGCTTACTGTGGATGCAAAAGAGCTTGGAGAGGTGGATCCTAAGTTCAAATAACACCTACGCTAGCCTTTAGCTGCTGTATGACCTTGAAAAGGTAACCCCAACTTCATCAGGGGTTCAGTTTCCCCATCCAGCAAGATACCTGCTACACTAAGGGAGAACCCCATTTCAGCCACATGGGGGTGCTCCTGTCCTCCGAGAAGCATTTCCTTGAGTCAAATACATGTTAGAGGACCCATGCCTACGAGTTGAAAGGTTGGGAAATTCAGAAACGTTCTTCCGGATCAAAGGTGTATAACCCAATTTTCCCACAAGTTGATGGGCATAGGACGAACAGCCTGATGGCTCTGCAGACCTCTCTGGGATACCCTGGCCCTGGTGAGGTCACACAAGGGACCAAGAGGACCAGGTTGGAACTGTGTTACCTGGCTGCTGATGGGGACGCCACCGGGAGTTTATAAGCCAACGTGAGCAGAGCGGTGGCCGCGAAAGACGTCAGGAACAGCAGGGCCCCGAGGAGGACAAGGACACGTTTATTTCTGTAGATGAGAGGGCAGGGGAGAATGCCTTTCAGTTGCCTTCCCCATAGCATGAATGAGGGAGGCACTACCATCCCAAGAGCCCTGGGGCCTTGCTTTCAAGGGAGAAAGGGGGGACTTCAGTGGAGCAGAGGAAGCTGGGCTGGCTGGGAGTTCCTTCCTGAACTGCCTGATCTTGACCACTGACCAGCAGTGAGACTGTGGACAGGACCTTGAACTTGGGCTTCTCTTCTAGACAGGGATAGGAAGAGCACCCTTGCCTTCCCTGCCCAGAAGCTTGTACTGTGGCTCCAAAGGAGACCATTCTTGGAAACGTTGCTTGTCATCTACGGAGCGCTATATGGACATGAGAGGTGGTTGACTTCGAAGTGGAGTGAGCTGTTCAAGGCAGGATGGGACACAGATAGGACACAGCCACCCACTCCAGGGAAGGGGAGGGAGAACAGAACAGGGAGGAAAGCCCAGCTTTCCTCGCCAGCATAAGCCTGAGACAAATGTCGATGTGGGAGGCTTGTGTGGGAGTGGAGAAGAGAAGCAGGAAGGCAGGGAGAGCCAATGCAAGGTAAGCTGTTGAGGTAACCAACACTCAATTCTTCCAGCGTGTTCTACAGCTTTACGTAATATGTCTTAGAACTGTCTGAGGGGATGAAGGAAAAAAGGATTTCCCCAATATCTTCTGTTCCACAGGTGGCTACGCACATCAATTCCTGCACTCTCAGGGGTTGTACACGAAGGAGTCCCCGCTGTTACATACTGCAGGATTCTGCAGGCAAGGAAAAGGCCTGAGGACGCCGGCTCTAAGTGAGGCACTGTCTGGTGACCGGGAACAGAACTGGGCGGATGGGGACTGTAAGGATTTGCTGTGCCACAGAAATGTGGACACTCATGTCTCCATCTTTTAAAAGCAGTTTCCCATTGTGACTCAAGAGCTTTCAAGACATTCATGCCCTATGACCCACTGATTTCCCCCTCAGGATATGCATTCGGAAGAAACACTGGAGTTGGAGACAAATGGTTGTCACGAAAATATTCATGGGAAGTTATTTATGAAAGCATAAAATTGGAAGCAATCCAAGGATATAACAATGGGAGAAGGTACAAGTAAATTATGGTTCATTCAGGAGATTAAATGTTAGGCAGACATTACAGTTATGTTTACAATCAGGAAAATAATATAGTAAAACTACTTTTAAAAGCTGTGGAGGAGCATGCTTTCGTCTCTTAAAAAAAATTGAGCAGGAAAAAAAAATCAAAAAGACAGCACCAGAATCTTGACAGTGAACCTAGTTTGCCATGAGTGATGGACTGGGGTGAATATTTTCCTTCCTCTTAATCCTAATGTTTCCTAAATTGAACACATATTTTAACAAGGAGGAATAATAAATTTCTTTTTTAAATGGCACACTATAAATCTTCCCGCGAATTACTGAGACTGTAAAGCGTTTCTAAAACTAACACAATTAAGGTGATAGATACGGGCTGTGGGGCGGCAGGTACATTGACACATGGCTAAGGGCAGTGTAAATTACTCCCCTCTTCCCAGGGAGCCATTTCCCAGTATGTAACAAACACTTAGGAATCCCTGCCACCCTTTAACCTGGTGATTCCACATAGAAATATGTCCCCATGGAAAGAGCTACAAGGAAAAGTGGAGTGTTCAAAGGCAGTCATCACAGTGCCATTTATAATCATGAAAAATTGGGCACCATCTAGATACCCAACCATAAAAATGGAATATAAATCCTGCGACTGACAGGTATGCGGGCTATGTCAATATGTGGATATGTTTATGTGAACAGCTGGAATGGAAAATGCTGAGCACTGGGTATTCCACACACCGGTGATAAATCTGGGAAAACATGATGATTTATACGTGGCTGCCAGAAGACGTGGAAGGAAGAGGGAGCAGTGCCTCCCGATCTGGAAAGTTAATTTCCTACATTGTAAAAAGCTGCTTTCTACAAGGCTGAAACATATCTGAGAGTTCCGGGCCAAAGGACCCATGGAGGGGAGGGGAGGGACATCTCAGACCCACTTTCCATGGACGAAGAAGATCAGCGGCGTCAGGAGGTGGAACTGGAAGTCGCTGGCGAGGTACCAAGTCCAGCCATGGCACTGGGAAAAAGGAGAAGTAAATGTGACTCCTCCCTTCCAGGTACAGGGGCTGTAGTGTGTCTGCAGTTTGGCCTGTTGAGCAGGTGGGCGGGGCAGCTTCCATGGGAAGAGGAACTAGATACCCTTTGTCCTTCCTCAAATCAGCCTTTGGACCAAGCCTGATGACAGGTCTCATGGAGATTCAGACACTCTTCTCTCTTGTTTCTAAAAACCAACATAGCTTGTCTCCTAGGACAGCCATGGGAACGGACTGGGGTCATGATTCAGGAATGCAGGAGGTGGCTGTCCTCATGGTGTGACTGGAATTCCAAGAAGCCAGAGAGGTCCTTTCCCTTGCCTGGTTCCCACTCCCAGCTCTAGGTGGAGAAATTGTGTTCTTTCAAAAGCAAATATTTGGCTCACATTCACAGTTCCCACTAGAACCAACATGGATGCCTGGCCAAAGTCACGGGGGCCCACCCGCTCTCCATGCTTGCGGTAAATGAAGCCAGCCATTGTGGACATGTTTTATCTCACATAAGAAAATTCCTAGTGGCAATTTTCCTGTCATTTCGGATCCCAGGGCTCAAAGGAGCCCAAACTTCCTCAGGATAGAGGGAAGCTTTGTCCACAGTTAAAAAGACACCTTTGAAGCCAGGCGGTGGTGGTGGCGCACGCCTTTAATCCTAGCACTCGGGAGGCAGAGGCAGGCGGATCTCTGTGAGTTCGAGGCCAGCCTGGGCTACCGAGTGAGTTCCAGGAAAGGCGCAAAGCTACACAGAGAAACCCTGTCTCGAAAAACCAAAAAGAAAAAAAACCAAAAGACACCTTCGCCATGGAGAAAACGTGAATGGTCAGGCTTGAGAGCCATGGCACCTTGCTTCTAAAAATCTAAGGTAGGCTTCCACTCAAAGGGGCAACTGGCTCCTGTCCTTGCCCCTGATTTTTTTTTTTTTTTTTTTTTTTTTTTTTTGGTTTTTCGAGACAGGGTTTCTCTGTGTAGCTTTGCGCCTTTCCTGGAACTCACTTGGTAGCCCAGGCTGGCCTCAAACTCACAGAGATCCGCCTGCCTCTGCCTCCCGAGTGCTGGGATTAAAGGCGTGCGCCACCACCGCCCGGCTGCCCCTGATTTTTTAATGGCCCAAGCTAGTCTGCATCCAGGAAAATGACCCCACCCATCTCCTGGGACCCTATCACAGACGTGCGCTCACCTGCAAGAGATCAGCATGGACGGTGCCCTGTCAAAACTACTGGGCGTGGCCATCTCATGAAAGAGCGGTTACAGGCGAGAATTAGGGACCTGCCATTCAGCCCACAGGAGGACTTAAGGACATGACCGAGTTATAGCTACCTCATTTTCTTTCACTCCAAGTTCATTATTGTCCTGCTAGATGTGTATTGTTATTGTTGTTGTTGTTTTGTCAACTTGATACAAGCCAGCATCTTCTGGGAAGAGGGAACTTAAACTGAGGAAATGCCTACAGTATATTGACCTGTAGGTATGTCTGTGGGAACATTTTTTTAAGATTTATTTATTGTATGCATGAGTACTCTATCTGCATGGACACCTACATGCTAGATGATAGCATCAGGTGCCATTATAGATGGTTGTGAGTCACCATGTGGCTGCTGGGAATTGAACTCAGGACCTCTGGAAGAGCAGCCAGTGCTCTTAATCACTGAACCATCTCTCCAGCCCGGGAAACATTTTCGTGATTGATGACCGACGTGGGAGGGCCCAGCTCCACTGTGGGTGGTGCCACCCTTAGGCAGGTGGTGCTGGGTTATATAAGAAAGCAGGCTGAGCAAGTAATGGGGAGCAACCAAGCGTCCATAGTCTCTGCTTTGGTTCCTGCCTGGAGATCCTGCCCCGATTTCTCTCAGTGATGGGACCGTGACCCAGGATGTCTAAGCCAAATAAATTCTTTTCCTTCCCAGGTTGTTTTCGGCTAATGTGTTTTCATCACAACGATAGAAAACAAACTGGAATAATTATGAAGATTTAGATTATGTAGGCATAGATCCTGTAGCTCTGAACCAGCTCTGTCCAGACTGGCCTGAAATTGATTCAGAGTTCACCAAGGTGGGGTGGGGGTGGGGCATTGCTGTGATGTCTCACCCCAGCATAGCCCCCCTGTGTGAAGGCAAAGAAACTGTCCTTTCTGCTGTGGTGACCTGGACTGGTTCAGGATCATTTGGAGAGGGGAGCTGTCCTGGAGACCACACAGTCCACCCTCATTAACACCACTGCAGCCCTTTCTTACTTATAACAAGGACCCCTACACCAGCCGGTGCCATACCCCTAAAACCCCCACGGAGATGGGGCTTAGGTTGGCCCTTGGGAAACTGGCCAGACCATGTGACTGAGACACCCTGTGTCCACCCATATGCCCTGTGCAATTCGGCTCTTGGGAACTCACGGCGTTCTGAACAGACACGAAGTTATTCAGCAGCAGCAGATTCGTCCACCAGACTTGCCGGCAGTTATCCCAGTGGAAGTGCGGAACCTCCCAGACAGGTCCCCAGGGAACCAAGGAGAAGAGTCCAACCAGCAAGCACACTGAGTACAGATGAAGAAGCTGCAACCTGGCAGAGAGATACGGAGAGACGATAACGCCGGGAAGGTGCCGTGGACTCACCTCCCCGGGCACACAGGAGACGGGAGGGATGCTTTCAGAAACCCGTGACACCGGTGGGCAGCCTCGAGGGCCCACAGTCTTGCTGAGTGGCCCACCGTGGGCTGCCACAAAGGCAGGAGCACTGCTGCTGGCTGCGAAAGCCATTTATGTCACCATCGAAACAGAAACTTGAGATAGTCCTGTCTGGTTGCTCTTTTTTTGGTTTTTTGTTTTTGTTTTTGTTTTGTTTGGTTTGGTTTTTTGGTTTTTTTTGGGGGGGTTGTTTTTTTCAAGACAGCGTTTCTTGGAGCCCATCCTGGAACTCGCTCTGTAGCTCAGACTGGCCTCGAACTCACAGAGATCCACCTGCCTCTGCCTCCCAAGTGCTGGGATTAAAGGCGTGCGCCACCACCGCCTGGCCCGGTAGCTCTTATTCCATCTCAAATTACAGCCCAGAAACGTCAGAGCGTCTCGTCCACAGTCACTCATCCGTAAGATGGGTACAGCTCATATTCTTCCCATGTGCCTCATGAGACAGAAACTTCTTTCCTCCCTCCTTCCCTCCTCTTCCTTTCTTCCTTCTTGGCTGTACACTTTTTCACCCTTCTAAACGGGATTTGGCACAGCTACAGACTGATGATTAATACACAGGGTCCAGGACTGGGCACGGGACTCAGTGGGCAGAGTCCTTTTCTACCGTGCACAGAGCCCTGGGGTTTGATCCCTGGTTCGACATAAACTGGATATGTTATGTTAGTACAGGCCTGTAATCCCACAACTCAGCAGGATCAGAAGTTCAAGACCATCCTTGACTACGCTGTGAGAGAGAGGCCAGTCTGGACTACACGAGACCCTGTCGCAAATAAAGAAACAAGGAAAAGTAAAAAAATACATATATACACTGTCTTAGTTAGGTTTCTATTACTGCGAAGAGACACCATGACCACAGCAACTCTTGGCAGCTTATAGTTTCAGAGGTTCAGCCCATTATCATCATGGCGGATAGCATGGCCGAATGTAGGCAGATGTGGTCCTGGCTACATCTTGATATGCAGGCCACAGGAAGTTGACGGAAAACTGGGCAGTATCCTGAGCACAGGAAACCTCAAAGCCTGCCCCTACAATGACACACTTCCTCCAACAAGGCCACACCCACTCCAACAAAGCCACACCTCCTAATAGTGACACTCCCTCTGAGTTTACACAGCGGGGAGGGCAATTACATTCAAACTACCACATACATGGTCCAGATCAGTGGGATGCAAAAGAAATAGAATAAGACAATCTGCCACTCACCGGGCTACACTTCTAAAGCTAAAGAAAAATTAACTACAATGAACTTAAATATTGTTTCTTTAGCTGATAGACCCAAAATATGATCATTAAAGAATATTAACCAACATAAAATTTATTAAGATGCTAGCTGCTTCTTTGAGTACGTAGTATCTCTAGGTTGAACCCTGTGTCCGGTAACTGCAGAGTGGACCACACATATGGAAAGTTGGAAGAGAAGGCATGGTTGGAAGGGATGCACGATTGTGGCATGGGGTGGGGCTAAAGTCAGAGCCCTTGTTGGTTGGTTGGCTGGGTTCTGCAGACAGACTCTTTTGTCTGTATTCCAGGATGATCTCAAACTCTTGATCCTCCTACCTCTGCCCTCCTGGTGCTGTGATTTCAGGCATGCTCCACCATGTCCCCACAGAAGCCCTCTTTTATGGTTTTCCATTTTTCACGTGTGTATGAGGTGTGCATGTGTGTACATATGTTTTTGCATGTGTGTGGGCACACGCGAGTCAGGGTCAATGTGCATTTGTGTGACTGAGCATGTGGAGGCCCAAGATTGTAAGGGAACTGTCCTTTATCACTCTTCCACTTTATCCGTGGAGACAAGGTATCTCAATCAAACCCAGAGCTTGCTGATTCAGTTGGTCTAGGTAGCCGGCTTGCTCTGAGAATCCCCTGTCGCCATCTTCTGGGGCTGCCATGCCTACCAGGCATTTTACTTGGGTCCCTGGGGAGTCGGTCACTTAGGTAACACTGACCACATCCCCAGCCCCAGGAGTCCTCTTTTTAAGAGATATTTTTAACTACAGTGTGGCTCAGTGGTAGAACAAGTGCTTAGTATGGACAAAACATTGGGTGAGATCCCCAGTGCCACAGGATAGACAGACAGACAGATAAAGAATACATTTAGAAATTTAGGGTGGTTTTTCACTCAAGTAGAGCAGAGCCCGTGGTCCCACAGCCCCTCCAAACAAATGGATAAGAGCCCAGGACTGGGTGAGGTATGACAGATGGAAGCTGGCAGGTCTTGGCACAGCCCCACTTAAAGGTGCCCACGACAATGGAGAACTAACCTGTTCTTCTGGTCACCCGAGGAACGGGCCTGTTGCCTTCCCTTCCCTGCAATGACAGCATCCTCCATACACAGTACCCCGAAAGCATTCAAGACACAGGGATGGAATTACTGAGCAGTGTCACCGAGGAAAAGCAGGTAACTGTGTCCCAGATCTGCTCACCTGCATTTGCTTTGGAGCCAATCTCCCTGAGGCCTGCAGCCTGAGGCCGGCCATGCTGTGGGATGTTCTGTATGTCAAATGTGTTGCTGATTAGTCAATAATTAAAACACTGATTGGCCATTGGCTTGGCAGGAAGAGTAGGCGGGACAAGGAGGAGAATAAAGCTGGGAAGTGGAAGGCTGAGTCAGAGAGACACTGCCAGCCGCCACGATGAGAAACAGCATGTGAAGATGCCGGTAAGCCACGAGCCATGTGGCAAGGTAATAGATTTATAAAAATGGATTAATTTAAGCTGAAAGAACAGTTAGCAAGAAGCCTGCCATGGCCATACAGTTTGAAACCAATACAAGTCTCTGTGTTTACTTGGTTGGATCTGAGGGGCTGTGGGACTGGCAGGTGAGAGAGATTTGTCCTGACTGTGAGCCAGGCAGGAAAACTTAAGCTACACGGCCAAGCTTGCCAGCAGACGGAAGTTCCTGCAGCTGCTACTGCAGGCCTCTGTCTCCAACCTGCCTGGATTCCCTTCCTGTCACGTGTCTCTTCCTCCTCTCTGGGAGAGAATCAGCCCCTGCACCTTTCAGAAGCAGGGCTTAAGACACATGCTTTGGGAGGGCACATGCTACCCCACCCACCCTGATTCTAGCATCTCCACCCCTTGGCAATCTCTCCAGAGGATGGTGTTAAAATGAAGTCTTCAAGCCAGTGGGCCATAGTTGGGAGTGAGGTTGAGCCTCTGGGTGGGTGAGTGGCAATCCTGAATTAGGTGGGCTAGGGAACCAAACCAGAAAGGCAAGTTTGAGTTTTGCCTAAACCATTCACATGTGTGAAGGTCATTTCAATTTTGTCTCTTTCCTCCCCCATACAAAGAGGGTGATGGTCACTGCCTCCTAAGATCCTGGGAGAATCCTGTGAGGTAAATAAGGCAACAGAGTGAAATGTCTTCGATGCCACAGAATTATACCTGTGCTACATTTTTGTCCTGGTTACTAGGAGAATGAAAGATCTTGGCCTGCATCACAGAAGTGTGAGAAGCAGACATATGCATATCTGGTGGGTAGGATGGATAAACAAGAAAAATCATACATGTGCCAACTCCATTTGCAGGGATTTACCCTATAAGCATGCCCACCAAAATCTCCCCACTCAGACCTGCCCATCCCATCCTGCCCACCCAAATCTTCCCATCCAGATCTGCCATATATCACCTTCTAATCTAAGAAAGCAAAAATCTTGGAAACTTCCTCCATATCCATCATTGGGGTCAACTCAAATACACAATGGTCCATGTATACAAAGCCCCATAGGTCACATCAGTGGTGTGGGTTCTATCAATAGAGAATACGCTGGGGCTGTGACATTAAATGAAAAGGCCACATGCAGAACAGGATGGTGTCTAAGTCAACTAAGCCACCTCCCTGCCCCCTAGCTATGAACTTTTAAGTGTGACTCCTAGTTGGAGAGATCAGGCAGCGCTAAGACCCCAGAACATCTCCTCTACTTCCCATTTGACAATATCCGATCCAGTTTACACCCAGAAGGTGAGCGAGTGGGTGGATTTTCTTCTTATTATTATTTTTTTCCAGATAGGGTCTCACTCTGCAGCCCTGGCTGTCCTGGAACTCACTCTGTAGACCAGGCTGGCCTCGAACTCACAGAGATCCACCTGCCTCTGCCTCCTGAGTGCTGGGATTTAAAGGCATGCGCCACCACCGCCCGGCTTGGGTTTTCTTATAAAGCAGTAGCTTCCAGCCCACCTCCTGATGTCCCACCCTTGCTCCATTCCAGTACCCTTGCTGCCTGGCAGGCAGAGGAATGCTTGCAGCCTGCACATCTGACCCCATGCCTCTCCTGCTGGCGCTCTCTAGAGGGTTCTGTCCCGGAATAACCTCAGAAGAACGTGGAGAGAGCAGAGAGCGCGGTTGCCCCTGGGTCTAGTCCTTCACCTTCGCCCTCCATGACCTCACCCCGACTGTTCTCCCCACACCCCCAACTTCCACACCCCATCTGCCAGCAAAGAGCTTGGGCGGGGGGGCTCCTCAGCTTCCCCAGTCACTCCAACCACACTCTGTCCTCGGGGCTTTTGCACTCTGTTACCCCTGAATGGATTGCTCTTAGCTTCTAGCATTTTCTTTGTGTGGAACATTCCTTTGCTTCTTTCAAGATCCTGGGCGAAAGTCACATTCCCTTCCTCCCCTTCAGGAGGTCAGCCCACCCCACTTCTGTCTCTCAATTCTCACTTTATGGCTCTCAGATCACTGGTCTATACTGTGTTTATTTGCATACTGCATTTTAATGATAGATTATTTATTTATTATGTATCTGCATTTACTAGAATGTAACCTCCACTGGAAGGATTTTATTTTTGTTGGGTTAATAAAATGTTGAATCATCAGATCTTAAAACCATGCCCGATACACAGTGGCCTGTGATGGGTTAATAATGAAGCCGTCTTAGCCATCTTGTCTCCTGTACTTTTTTTTCTTATATAGCCCAGGCTGGCCTCAAATTCACTAGGTAGTCAAGGCTAGCCTTGAACTCCTGATCTCCCATCTTCCATCTTCCGAGTGCTGGGGTTATAAGTGTGCCCTACCATGCCCAGCTTGTCACCTGTCCTCTTGAAGAGATAAATCCTAAATGAATAGGAACAACGAGTTCTGAATTCATAAATGACAACATCCTAATTGCCAGGGGCATGACTATCCTGTCCCTGAGGATCTTGGGAAGGGCAAGGCCAGGATGAGGTTAATACCACCCACCTCTATTTTTCAATAAAGTTTTGGCTCAAGTTGGAGTCATCCTCTTCCTCGCTCTGACTCAAATCCCTACACTTCCAGAGTTCTTTGTCTCAACAGTGCCACCGTGTCTGCTCAGCCTTGTTACTCAGGTTGGGAAATTCACCTGCCTCTGAGTTCCCATGTCCCCGTTCCCACTGCCAGGGGCCAGATTCCAGGGTTCCACACTTTATCTTGCTCACAAGTCATATCATCATCACCCGCTCCCACCCAGTGCCCTTGTGCCCCCCAACCATGGCTCCCTCTGCCCGGAAAAAAACTTTCTCCCATTTCCCAAGTCGTTCCGTCCCAAAACAAGCTTTCCACGCTCCTGGTTCCCTCACCCTGAACTAAGCTGTTCTGAACCTGGGGCCGGGATGGCAAGGCCTCCATTCCGGCAAACCTCAGGCACGACAAGTTGCTCAACCAGAGCCTCACACTCGGAAGACTCGGAAATCCTGCATTTCCCCTCCCCTCCCCCACCCCCATCACCAGGAGGAGGGGGGCTGCATTGATAAAGCTCAGAAGAAACCACAAACCACAGTGAAAAGCAGCAGTGCTGGTCTACTCCTAGCCCCTCCTCTTTCTTCACTTACAGAGAGAAAGGCAGAAAAGCCTTGGGTACCAGCAGGAGCTGTGACGATGCTGTACTCACTGGGGGCTTACTGTCTATCCTGAACCTTTCGAAGTTCTTCATGTACATTTTCTCATCTCTCAAGAATCCTACAAAGTGACACTAGTTTCACTACCACCACCTTGATTTCTTTTCTTTTTTTTTTTTTTTTTTAGACAGAGTCTCAGGAAGCCCAGGCTAGCCTCAAGCTCTCCATGTAGCTGAGGATAGCCTTGAACTTCCAGTCCTCCTGGCTCCTTCTCCAGAGTGCTAGAACTCCAGGCAGAAACTATCACTCAAGATTTATGTGGTGCTTGAGACTGAATGTGGTGGTATTTTACTTGTACTGAAATGTGATTTTAATTGTATGTTAATAAATAAAGTTGCCTGGGGGTCAGAGCTATTAGAGCCATAGCAAGTGCGTGGCGGCGGTGGCGCACGCATTTAAGGACCTGGAGGGCGGTACATACAGGCAGTAACGAGACAGTCACATGTTTGGGTTTACAACCAATGAGAAGGCAGAACAGCTAGAGTATATAAAGACATACACACAGGAAGTAGGTCCCTTTCGGAGAGCTCTCTTGGCTGAAGAGGATCCCTGAATCAGGAAGGGTGAGGCTCTTAGCTCTGACCTCTTGGCTTTCTTCTCTGAATCGGCTCTGTGTTTCTTATTTAATAAGACCGTTGGTTACATCTACAACTGAATCCAGGTCTTCAGGCATTTGAGGCAAGTACTGTACCAGCTGAGCTACATGCCCAGCCCCTAATTTCATTTTATAGATAAGAAAACTGCGGGAGCCCATTTTCAGGTTCCTCATGGCTTTACCCAGCAGGTCTACATAGAGAGGATGATTAGGACCACAGGCATGAGTGCAGGTGTCTGAGATGGTCTGCACATGGCTGTGCTCGGGGGAGGTCTTTTGCTCCACCCTTTGGCGTCTCTACAAATACCCTAGGGCAGAGACAGTCAGGGCTTCAGCCCCTCTCAAGGCTATCCTTTATTTTCTATCTGTTTATCTCCACATTCTAAATCCTTCTATCTAATATTTCCTGAATCCTCGTACTCAAGAAAACTCTGGGGAACTGTGGGGTTGGTGGGTAGATGCCCCGCAGAAAACCTAAGTACAGAAAGGCTGGGATAGTCACATTAACTGGTGCATAGTTAAGCCAGGACACAGGCCAGCAGTGGAACCGTGGTATCTGTTCCTGCCCACGCCCATTTCCCCAGCCCTGGGGATCATTTTAACTGTTTTCTGATGGAGTGGTGGTTAGTTTTAATAACAATTCATTACAAATTAGAATCACCTGAGTAAGGGAGCTTCAACTCGAGAATTGTCCTGACTGCCTTAACCCATGTGGGAAGACCTACCCCAATGTAGGTGGCACCTTCCGGCGGCAGTCCAGATACAAAGGATGCCAGAAGACACGGTGTTTGCCTTCAGTCCACTTGGCCTTCCCTCTTGCTGCCGAGTTAACTCACCCTGGTGCTGCTGCTGCTGCTGATGATTCCTTCACTGACATCTGAACCCACATTTCCAGGTTTCCTTCATAGGCTAAAGACCAGTGGCTCTCTGGGTTCTCAGCACCAATTTGGGACTGCTAAGTCACCAGCCTTGTGGTCTGAGCAACTGCCTGGTTCTCAGTCTCTCAGGTGTGAGACAACTATAGTTACTATTGCAGTGAGAGTGGGTTTAGTAAATTCTTTTGATATATGACATGTGATATATATATTATCATATATGTGAATATATATATATATATTCATCCTATTGGTTCTATTTCTCTAGGGAACACTCTATAGTATATTATAGCAAGATGGAATGCAGGGAGCTGGGTTCTGGTTCAGTCCAGCCATGTCTGAGAAAAGGGAGGGACTGGAGAGCAGGAGCTGAGGTGTCCTCTCCCTTTAATTCCAACTCTCTCATTACATCACTGCCATCACTATTCTGTACTCTAAACCAATATCAGAAGTACTTCCGCTTCAACCAACCACATATTGCCTAATAAGGAAGCACAACCATGACCCAAGCCTCACCTAACACTGTTCTTTGTCATGTGTTATTTTTATCATCAGACTGGCACGCTGACTTCCAGGATCACTTGCAGCTATACCTCTTCTCCTGCAGAACACAGATCCCATGGAAATGGATAGGACATCTATGGAACTCTACTTCCAGCCAGCTGAGAACATGTTTGCTGATGGAAGACACCAGTTTTTCATGACCTCTGCCATCACAGAAGTTGAACTATTTTAAGCCAGTCAAATGCAAACATAATTAAGGAAGAAAACTGTTTCTTTCAAAGACTCTTTCTAAACAAGGTTGAACATTGAGAAATACCTATTTCATAGCCAATAATGAATTGAAATATTACATAAGTTAACCTACCTTGTAAAACGTTTGAGAAAGTATCTGAGCATGATTTTAGGGGTTATTCCCGCGTTTGTGCTCCGGTGCATCTTTAGAAATGACCTTGCACTTAACCAACCACTAAGAGAGAGAAGAGAGTAGCCTCAGAAGTCAGTTAGCAATAATAGAGTTCATCAGTGAGCTGCCTCGGTTGTCTTAGTCAGGACAGGTTAAGGGATGCTGCAGTGACAAGGTAGCCCCACACCTTAAAGCAGCAGACTTTCGATTCTGTGTTTTGTTTCACTTTGGTTCTGTTTTTCTCATACAGTATATTCAAAGCCTGTTGGCCAAGTCTCAGAGTCTTCCTCACTATGTGCTAACAGGAAAATGAGTGCTCACAAATGACCACAGCAGCGAAACAGAGCACTGGAGTGTCTCAACCCAACAACTCAATGTTCTAGCCTAAAGTGGCACATGAAAGCTGTTGGCATAAATTTTCGAGGGTTTCAACAGAAGGCTAGTGGCAAAACGAGGTATAACTTGTTGATTGGAGCTAGTAATGTGGTCCATCCACAAGTCCAAGCACCTGGAGCAGGGGTTCTCAACCTGTGGGCTGTGACCACTTGGGGATCAAACAACCCTTTCATGGAGATCACATATCCCCATGATATCTGATATACAGGTATCCTGTATATCAGATATTTACGATAGTAGCAAAATCATAGTTATGGAGTAGCAATGAAATAATTTTATGGTTGGGGGTCACCACCACAAGAGGAGCTGTATTAAAGGGTCACAGCATTAGGAAGGTTGAGAACCACTGACTTGGAGGATGAAAGGTCAGGAATATTGGGCTAACAATACCAATAGCTGCCATGCTGTGTGCTCTCTCGCTTGCGCTCTCTCTCTCTCTCTCTCTCTCTCTCTCTCTCTCTCTCTCTCTCTCTCTCTGTGTGTGTGTGTGTGTGTGTGTGTGTGTATGTATGTCTGTCTGTCTCTTTCTGTTTCTGTCTCTCTGGTTGTATAGTTCATGCATGTTAGTATGTAAATACATGTGCCCATGCCACTAGTGCAGAAGTCAGGCAAAGACATCAGCGTCTTCCTCTGTCACTACCCCCCTTATGGCCTTGAGAAGAGTCTCTCACTGAACTAGGAGCTCACTATTTGGGGTAGACTGGCTGGCTAGTGAGCTCCCGGGATCTGCCCTCTCTGTCCCACAATGCTGGGGCACATGCAGTCATGCCCAGATTTTTGATGTATGCTAGGGATTTGAACTCGACTCCTCAGGCTTGCAGGAGCTCAAGTACTCTTCCACACAGAGCCATCTCCACAGCCCTATTGGCCTTTTAAAGTAAAGCCGTGAAAGACTCCCAATGCTATAGCACCACACCATTTTCAAAATGCTTTCCCTAACAAGATTGTTTCAGTTCTCCAACCATACCCAACTTCCTCTAAATAAACATTTGTTGAGTAAACAGGCAAACAGATGGATGTTTGAATCCTACCAGGAGCAAGAGGGAACATTTTTTATCTTTTTTGGGTGGGGGAGGCAGGGGGGTTCGAGACAGAGTTTCTCTGTGTAGCTATGGATTCTGTCCTGGAACTCGCTCTGTAGACCAGGCTGGCCTCGAACTCATAGAGATCTGCCTGTCTCTGCCTCCCGAGTGCTGGGATTAAATGCATGTGCCACCACTGCCCATCGAGGAAACATTATTCCCATTTTTCCAAGCAGGGAAAGTGACACTCAGATTACTAATCAGGCTGCTCAAGAACACAGAATTCCAGTTTTGTTTCTCTGATTTTGAGACATGGTCTCACATAGCTCCCAATGGCCTCAAACCCCTGATGTAGCTGAAGATGACCTTGAACCCTTGATCTTCCTGCTTCTACCTCTCAAGTGCAGGGATTACAGGAAGATCATAGAATTCTTAACAGGCACGTTCTCATAGTGAATTCACCACCCAAACATCAGCTTTGAGTTACAGCTTGGTGGTGAGCAGGACTGTGAGTTCCTCCACCTTTTGGCATTCAGCCCTCTGATCCTTATGTGATTCCTCGGAATAGCAAATGTGTTTCCTGTTGCACAGCAAGGATGCCTGTGTTGGGCCCTACTTGGAAGGGATCCTGGTGGGTTGGGGAATGCCTCTTCGACTTCCTTTGAAAAGCAGCAAGCTGGATTTCTTATAATAGGAACCAAATGCATAAAAGACATCTAAATGAAAGCCCTGAGAGCTGGAAGTAGGGCAGCCAATTCTGATTCTGGCCTCTCTTCATCTCAGGAAAGGATGAATCTGGGCCATTCTTTCTTCTCAGAGTGCCTGGCACCCACTGGCAGGCAGCCTTTGCTAAGCAGAACTGGCTCTTGTTTCATGTGTGGGAATGTACTGTTTAGCCCACGAGGAGGGGCCACTAAAACGAGGGGAAACAGGCTGTGAGTCCCAGAGTCCTGAACGGACTGGGGAAGGGGAAATCACTTGTCACAGATTAGTATGACGCTAACCCAAGAAGTAAGAAAGGATTTCAAAAGAGTGGCCACAGCTCTCCTCCAGGGTAACTGGAACCCTGTTTTTTCTGTGTATCAGTGATAAGTATCAGTGATCAAGGGTCAGACATGAGACCCATGAAACAACTGCAGCAGAGTAGCCCTAATCTGAAATGTGTGGACCCCAGTGTGGGTTAGCATTTGGGAATGCTTGCACACATCTAATGAGGTATTGGAGATGAGGCCCGAGGCTAAGAACAAGTTCTACAGGTTATAGGCCTGAAGATGATTGCAGACAATATTTTTGGCACACCTATGTTTTGTCTGGGACCTATAAACTGTAGAATTTCCCACTTAGGGTATTTTGTTAGCACTTAAAAAGATGCAGGTTTGAAATATTTTGGGTTTCGGATTTCCAGGGATACTCAACTTGTATTCTTAAGTTCTGATTCTGACCTTAATAGTATGGGCAAATCATTTTGTTTCTGGACCTTGAATTTATTATCTGCAAAAATGACGATGATACTCCATTATTCAATAGTAACTGTGGGAAGTGGGAGCTGGAGTGATGGCTCAGCCCTTAACAGAACTAATTGTTCTTCCAGAAGACCCAGGTTCAATTCCCAGCATCCACAAGGCAGTCCACACCATCTGTAACTCCAGTTCCAGGGGATCTGACCCCTCTTCTGGCCTCCTCAGGCACAAGGCACACACACAGTACATGAATATATATGCAGGCAAAACACTCAAACATAATTTTTTTAAAATAATTTTTAGAGTAAATGTGAAGGGCTGGAGAGATGGTTCAGTGGTTAAGGGTACTAGCTGCTCTTCCAGAGGACCTGGGTTCAATTCCCAGCACCCATAGGGCAGCTCACAACTGTCTGTAACTCTAGTTCCAGGGGACCTGACACCCTTTCCTGGCTCTCCTGGGCAGCAGGCACATGTGTGGTATGCAGGCAAACATGCAGGCAAAAACTGTACCCATATACATAAAAATTAAATAAATATGTGTGGTATACATGTGTTTTGTGTGTATGTATGTCTTGTGTATGTGGTATGTGGTGTACATTGTGTAGGTGGTGCATGTTGTGTGTGTGTTATATATGTTGTGTGTGTGACATGTATGCATGTGTAGTGTGTGTATGTGGAATGCATGTGTGTGGTATGTGTGTGTGTGTTCATGTGTGTGGTGTTATGTATGTGTATATGTGTGATGTGTGTGCGCTATATGTTTGTATATGTGTGCATGTGTGTGTGTGTGTAATGTATGTGTATGGTGTGTATGTAGGTGTGGTGTGTGTGTGTATATATGTGGTGTATGTGTGTGGTATGCATGTGTGTGGTATGTGTGTTTGTATGTGTGGTGTGTATGTATGTGTATATGTGTGGTGTGTGTGGTATATGCATATATGTATATGGTGTGTGTGTGTGTGTGTGTGTGTGTGTGTGTGTGTGTGTGTGCTGTGTGCACACGTGCAGTGCAGGTACTCATATAGAGGCCAGTGTATGCATACCCTTCCTGGCTTCTTACATGGGTAGAGGAGATTCTAACTCGGATCATCCTGCTTGCAGAGGAAGACTGTTACCCCGTGATCCTACTCCCCAGTGAGCCATGCACACACACATATACACCACAGACGCACACATCACATATGTGTAAACTTGAAATGAAAGAATATGGGAACCATCTGAAGTAATAACATAAACCCAGCACTTGGGAGGCTGAGGCAGGTGGATCTCTGAGAGTTCAAGTCCAGCCTGGTCTACCAAAAAAGTTCTAGGACAGCCAGGGCTACACAGAGAAACCCTGTCTTAAAAAAACAAATAACAACAAAATAAAATAAAAGCCAGAGGGAAGCAGGCAATCACAGAATGATGTTGAGGAATGGAAACAAAGAGACAAAGCAAAGAGAAACGTCTTTCTTCGTCTCTGACGCACTGTGCCCTCCCACTGCCTCTGCGCTCCTCCGCTCCAACACCCGGGTTTACCCTGTGCTTCACAGACCCGAGTGTGCGTCAGGATCATCTGGAGGGCCGTGATACCCTGCACTGCTGGTCTCACCCTGCGCATCTGGGGAGGGGCCTGCGAGCCTGCATCCCCAGCAGGAATTATTCCAGGAATAAGAGGCTCAGCATCCACAGTCCATATGAGCAGAAGGTATCTCTCTCTGCTTGCAATATCCCTGGACATTCACTATTTACAACCCTGCCCTGGGCCACCCGGTGAACCCTACGTTACCCGGTGGCTTCTTGTGCCATTTATCAAACTCTTAATAGTTTTAAGAAGTTACAAAATTAAGAAAGAGATTGGGAAATTTTAGGTCAATCCTTTAAGAGAGTGTGACTCTGTGAGCCTCGCACTGTTTTGTTATGTCTTTTCCTTCACATGTTGCTGGAGTGAGAACTGGGAATTTTAGTCTGAATCTACAGCACTTCCTAGAGCTTGAGAACCACTGAAATGAATGATTTCAACAAATATAATCAACGGGTGTGGGCTGTCGAGATGGCTCAGCGGAGTGGTGTGCCTGCCGCCAAGCCCGATGACCCGAGTTCAAATTCCGGAACCCACACGGTGACAAGAAAACTAACTTCTGCGAGCTCTCCTCTGACCAGCACACATATGTCATGGCACACATATACCAACATAATACATACAGACACATACATGTACACACACAAATAAATAAAAGATAACAAAAACATTTTCAAAATTCAACTTTTCATTTTTCAGCATCATTTTAACTCGTGGACGAAACTGAAGACACCCCAGAGGGCCACTGTGACAACAGCCCTATCCAGAAATAAACAGAAGCCGAGCCCCAGGTGAATTAATGAGTGCCAATTGCCTTTTCCCGGGAAGGGGAGACTGACCACCCTCCCCCAAACCCACATCTCTTCACAAGCATCACAGCAGAGACTACACGTCAACCTCGTCACCTGATCAGGAAAAACGTATCCACCCCAACGTAGAACGGGCCACTCCGAGAGTAGAGGTACAGCGGGTTTGTCGGCACTCTGGCCCTCCATTCAAGCACGTTATCTATAACAGATAGGTAGAAAAGCAACGTTGTTTCGTTCATCCGAAGGAAACCAGAGGACTTCACTTTGAGAAAAAAAGCAAGAGGTATGCTATCAACATCTGTTTGCATTGAGCTGTAGGAACAATGTCAGGGGTGACTGAGGCCCCTGTCACCCGGGCTGTGTGCTCCTTTGTGCTCTTATGATGCCCACAGTCCTCTGGGACTCTCACAGTGTTAGGGCAGGTGCCCATCATCTCAGAGTCTCCCTGTAACTGCCCTCGGTGACCCGGTCTCTAGTTCTGATTCATCTGCTTGGTCCCCTGCTGAGAGATGACCTTTGTTACTGGATGATGGACATTGAAGTGTGGATGAGGGACTTCAGGGTGTGGCAATGTCCAGAAATGGTGATTTTCCATGGATGCACCACATTTGGTTATACTTGCCTAGTCTTCAGTAACAGGGGAAAGCTACTTCCTGTCTTAGTAGACAGAGGGAGCACACAATGGCCAAATATCACCGGGTACCTGATTTCTACCGAGGGAAGTGGCAGTGATTGCAGCCCTGGGAAACTTGGCATAGGAAGTCTCAGTGTGTCACTAGAACAGAAGGAAGGCTGACTGTTCCCGAGACAGCTGTCAGGGTCCCATCCCATGGCCCACCGCTAGTCCACATAGAAGAGGCTCTCTTTCCCAGGGGTGCTGGAGAAGAAGCCGGTCAGCTCCCCATACCCAAAGACAGCCAAGCAGTCATCTGACTGGTGTGTCCCGAGACAATCCAAAGGAGACTCAGGACTCGGATCCCGTTCAGGGTCTGGCAGGTGCCTTCTGGCAGCTCTGGGGTACAGATGGCTGGCATGTTCTTTTGCCAAGAAAAGCACTGTAGAGCTCCATCCACGGCTCCTAGAAACCCTGAGAAAAAGTGGAGCTATTACCAGCCCTCATGTAAACCAGACCCATCCAGACACCACCCTAAGGTAACCCAAAACGCATGCAGAGACCTCAGACTCTGGCTCAAACACTGGAGTGCTCAGCTCAGGCTTCCCACAGTCCCCTCAAGATCTGTCTCTGGGCTCTCATACCTGTCCTTTGGAGCTTGACTCTCCTACTATTCTTGACCTAACATTGGTGTTCCATGATGCCTTGTGTTACCCGAGTTCAGGCACCCAGGGATATCTTACTGGGTTGCCTCCTGGAGCCTTGAAATGAAAGAATGTGCCTAGTCTTATGGCAATTGTTATGCCGTGTTCGGTTGATATTCCTGGGAGGCCTGCTCTGTTCTGAAGGGAGCAGTAGATCTGGGAGAGGTGGGGGAAGAGCAACTGGAAGGAAAGGAGGGAGGGGAAACTGTAGTCAGGATGTAATATATAAGAGGATAGATAGATGAGAGAGAGAGAGAGAGAGAGAGAGAGAGAGAGAGAGAGAGAGAGAGAATGCCAATAAAATTCATGCAGATCAGGGGGATCTCAGTTTAGGGGAGGAACCTAAAGGCCCACGCTGATGCCTGATACTTAATACATATATCTGCTTTACGTCAGAGATGGGTCCTAAGATGGGCATCTGAGGTCCAGCCTGGCATTGTTGAAAGCGGGGGAGGTGTGCTGTCTGTCAGTTCACTACAGTGTGACAGAGCCTCTGGAACACAGCTGGGCCTTGCTCAGCAGGATCAGGGCAGCCCAGCAGGAGGTCTTGGCACAGGCCTTCTTTTCTCTCTTCCAGCTAAAGTACAGAGACTAGGGAAAGGGGAATTTAAGAGGCAAGCACATACTATTGCACCGAACTCCATCACCTTACCCCATGTTGTCTCTTATTTTATATAGGTGGAAGTCGAGGTTCAGAAAGACCAAACAATCGGACCGAGGTCAGGGTTAGAAGTCAAGGCAGCTTTGACTGGGAATGGCTAAGCACCTCTTCTCTCTAACGTGCTGAACTTGGACCTGTCTATAGGACAGCCAGGTGCAGAGAAAGATGTACAGCCACATCACAAGAGGCCACCACAGGCTTCCGGAACCTGGGAAAGCCCATCATTAGATGTGATGGGGTTGTAATATAACCAACAGAGTGGGCCTACCTCCAGGGCTCTGTGCAGATACTCTGTGTAGACTGACATTGCCCCCCTGCAGGCAGATCTGCACCCCCTTCTGCATGGGAACTGGTCCCCAGAACTCTATGCCTGCTGAGCACCCTTTCAGACTAGCTCTATCTTTTATGGCTTTTTTGATATTGGGGTTTATATCAACTGTTACTATAATTAAGTCACTGTCGATGCTGATTTTGTGTAAAGTTCAAATAAGATCAGAGAAAAATCATTGCTATGCTTTCCATGTGGGACATACTCCTTGAAGCTACTTAATTACATAGTCATCTTTGCCCTGCCAACTCCCTGAGATTTTTGAGGTTTTTTTTAAGCCCCTTTTAGAGCAAGGAAAGACCATTTTGAAAATCTGAGGGGAACTGGTTGAAAATTACTCCATAGAGATGAAAGGTATTTGCATGAACAGGCAATTTTTTGAATGATGTGGAGATGGTAAGTATGTAGGTAAGTAGATAGATAATAGATGAAGATAGAAGTTAGATAGATAGATAGATATTATCACCTATCTATTATCTATATATCTGTTTTTCCCTTCCATATAAGCAGGTGGAAATGAAGTTGATATTCTCTCTCTCTCTCTCTCTCTCTCTCTCTCTCTCTCTCTCTCTCTCTCTCTCTCTGAGTCATAGTATGTAGTAGTCCTGGCTGGCTTCAAAACCACACAAGATTCTTCTGCCTCTGCCTCTGCCTCTTGAATTTTAGCATTAAAGGAGTATGCCACCATGACCCTTGAAACTAACATTCTTCATTATTCACCAAAGCATAACGTCGAGGGCCCAATCAAATCATCATTTTGTTACATTGTGGTTGAGTCATCTATTTCGGACTCAGATACATTGATTAGCTTTGCTTGCACATTCACCCCTGGCAGTTGTACATGAATTTACATAAATCTATAGAACTAAAAATAGCCTTGATCATAGAATCTGTTCCCAGGGGCATAACTACAGTGAGCCCCTTAACTCTCAACTGACCCAGGCTTTGGTCAGCACAAAAACACACTGGATAATTGTACCCGACATAATTCATCATTGTTAGTGACTTCGCCTTGCCTTAGCACCCTGATGGTAAACAAAGACTGAATTGTAAACAGTGGAGATCCAGCCTCTGCTGACATTTAGGGGCTGCTGGGCACTCACTAGAATCCAAACCGGAGGAATCATTTTCCAACCACACACTTCTCTAGGTCATTTCTCTGGGGTGGCCCTAGTTTAAAATGCTTACTTTTTCCTCTGCTCAGGGGTCCTGGTGGGGAGAGATGAACTTGGCAATTGGTCTGTGGGCTCCTGCTTCTTTGCCCATCGCTCTCCACATTTCTCAAAGGCAGATTCTCACAGCCTGCCGAAGTCCCGTGTGCCGGTGATGGCCTGAGGTCCAAGCCCCATTTCCTGGCCACCATGTAAACAGTCCCCACCACAGGAAGGACAAGGCCTAGCAAGGTGATGAACCTGCAGAAAGAAGACACCTGGCCAGGCCTTCACATAACACCAAAGATGCCAAGAAAACAACACCATGCAAGACAAAATCACCAACTGGACATGGAGGCACTCCTGTAACCCCAGCATATAAGAGGCTGAGTCGGGAGGCTCCTGAGTTCAAGGCTAGCTAATATACAAAGAAACATGCTGTCTCCAAAAGAAAAACACAACAAGAAAAACACATAAAAACTGACATAGGAATACTTAACAACTTAAGAAAAGGAGCTGAAGAAAGTTCAAGAGATAAGAATGCACATTGTTCTTGCAAAGAACCAGGTTCCATTTTCCCAGCACCCACAATGGGGGCTCTCAATCTCCTGTAACTCCAGTTCAGGTGATCTAATGTCCGCTCCTTCCATGACACCTACACACATATGGTCCACATAATCTCACACAGGCATACACATACACATAAATTTTTTTTAAAAAAATACATCTTTTAAAAATTCTAAGAATAAAAGTAATGGGGGAAAATCACAACAGAAAAGATGAATAAATTTCACTCACTCTCAGCTTAGAAAATTATCATAAGGATCACTTTTCAGCATTTGGGCTCAAGTGGAGTGAAAATTATTATAAACAGACAAAACAAAACCAAAACACTGAGAAAAACATTTGTAGCAGTGTATCTCGGGGTAAATAGCCCAAATAAAGAGGATGAACTTGAAAAAAAAACACCAAAAAAAAAAAAAAAAGAAAAGCTCAACACACACACACACACACACACACACACACACACACACACACACACACACACACACACAGAGACAGAGAAGAGGGTGGAAATTTTACAAAAGAAAAATACAAGTAACAATCTCAGGGGAAAAGAAACCTTCCTCACCAGTTTTTAAAAAAGACATGACTTAAACATCTATATTCACAAGGATGGCTTTGATCCTGGTGAGGAGCTAATGTAGCATGTATGGACATCCCTGCTAAGGCACTATAAACAAACGGTTCAGTTGTCAAGACCTAGAATTATACTTCTTTTCAATGTGTGCCAAGAAATGATCAAAATGCAGAAAGGTAAAGGGCACTTTGGTGCAACAGTCAGGGGAGAGGCCAGGCTTCCAAGCAGAGAAAGGGGTTTTCAGGAGCGACTGCAGATGGATGCATTTGCTGGTGGTCCTGGACCCCACTGAAGTTGGGGCCTGGTCTGTCTTCCCTGGAGTGCTTTCATTTTCCTTGTTTAACGGTGATCTCCCTGTATTTTAGTCAACACAGGATGCTGTAACAAAATGCTATGGGCTGGGAGCTTATGAACAATAGAACATGATGATGATGATGATGATGATGATGATGATGATGATGATGATTGAAGCTGGGAGTCCCCAAATCAAGTCACCAGCAGTAGACTTTGGGTTTCTAGTTGACTTTGCATGGTAGAAGGAAGGGGTGAGGTACCTCCCCGGGTTCCTTTTAAGAGGACATTAATCTCACTTGTAAGGGGTGAGGTACCTCCCTGGGTACCTTTTAAGAGGACACTAATCTCATCTGTAAGGGTGGTGCATCAGGGCCTAGTTACCTACTCAAGGCCCCACCTGACTCCATCACATTCGGGTTTAAGTTTCAATGCAGGAATACTGGGGTGGACACCAAACTCAGATCACTGAACTTTGAAGCCAGACAACATTGGCCAGTCATCATTCAGTGAATTAAATTCAACACTAAATGCAGTTGGCGAGAGAGGTTGATGAGAGGACACTGACATCACCCCCAGCTGGGCACCTCTGATGCCCATACTTACAGACACACGGAGGCAAACGTGTCCAGCCGAAACACCCCAGCAGCGCATCTGGCCACACTTTCACAAGATGAGGAGGAAGAGTTTCTCGTAAACAGGGAGAGGGAAGGTGCCAAAAATGAAGTATTTCTGAACCTTAGCATATCTGCCAAGAGAGGAGAGGCTGCCATGTTACTGCATTAGACCTTTCCGAGTGTATTCCTCTCATTGAAACACAAAGCTGGCATTTTAACGTGCATTGGCTTTCCAAGGCTGACGGTATTTTTAAGTTGCGTCTATACCGAACATGTACAGACTTTTCATCATTATTCTTTAAACGATACAGTATGACTATAAAATAACTATGTGCATAGCCTTTCATCGGGTGTTATAAATAAGCTAGAGATGGTTAATGGTGCCCAGGAGGATTGCGTATGTTCTATGCAAACACTATGAAATTTTATATAAAGGCTTGAGCATCTGTGGATTTCAGTCTCCTGGGGGTCTTAGAACCAATCCACCATGAATACCAAAAACTAAATTTATCTGCTTTATGAATAGTGGGAGGGAAAATAAGAAACAAAGACCCCAAAAGGGGGAAGAGACATGTGCCAGGGATTGAAAGTGAACACTGTTCTTCCAGAGGACCAGAGGCAGTTCCCAGCAATCACATCAGACAGTCCACAACATCCTCTAAGTCCGGTTCTAGGGAATCTCACACCCTCATTTGGCCTCCACAGGCACCTGTGCACACACACACACACACACACACACACACACACACACACACACACCTTAAAAAAATAAATGCTTAAAACATAAAAAGATGCTGAAAGCCACGTGTCTTCGTTAGGGTTTCTATTGCTGTGACAAACGCCAGAACCAAAATACAAGTTGGGGAGGAAAGGGTTTATTTATTCGGCTTACACTTCAGCACTGCTGCTCATCACTGCAGGAAGTCAGGACAGGAACCCCAACAGGGCAGGATCCTGGAGGCAGGAGCTGACGCAGAGGCCATGAAAGGATGCTGCTGACTGGCTTGCTTCCCATGGCTTGCTCAGCCTGCTTTCTTATAGAACCCAGGACCACCAGCCCAGGGATGGCACTGTCCATGATGGGCCCTCCCCCATCGATCACTAATTGAGAAAACGCCTTACAGCTGGATCTCACGGAGGCATTTCCTCAGCTGAGGCTCCTTCCTCACTGATGACTCTAGCTTGTGTCAAATTGACACAGAAAACCAGCCAGCACACCACAGAACTACTAGGCATTTGACCCAAGCAGAAACGGGCCAGACTCTTCTGAACTTTCAGTCCATTGATCTCTCACATCCCTTCTGGCCCACAGCCCTGGGAATGCTAAATCTAAGAAGGGGCTGGGACAGACTCCAGTCTGCTTGTGAGCAAGTCTCTCCAAGAGAGACAAAAATATGCAATAAAAGGTGGAACAAAACAACGGGAGACAGCCACTCTGGGATGGGCACCGTTCAAAGCCGAAGCTCAGAAACACCGGCTTAGGACAGGGCTGATGAATCCTTGGAAGACTCGGTACGTAACGCTCTTACTAGTGAGATTAGTGTTCTGTCTCAAATGTTAGTGAGACTGACCCAGAGTGTGAAGGGACAACTATTGGCCCTCTCCCTAGAGGCTTCGGAACTGGAAGTCTGGGAGTGATCTGGAATCTAGACTCTTGCAGCTCCCCAGGGCCACACTCAGAATTGGGACCCGGGCAAACGTTGAAGACACACGGTTTCAAATAGTGGTAATACCCGTTATTGACAGCCACAAACACGACAGCTTACTGAGTGCCTACAAGACATGAGGCATGGTTCCATCACTATTTGTAACTTTTACCAACCGACGACAAGTGTCCACCTTAACTAACACATGGGAGAATTTGCCTCGGATACGTTCATCACATTGAACATACTAGTTAAGAATACAGTTTCAGGAGGCTGGAGAGGTGGCCGTGAGGGAGCATGATGTTCTTCCAGGGGACCCAAGGTTCGATTCCCAGCAGCAGCAGCAGCAGCAGCAAAAAAAAAAAAAAAAAAAAGAAAAGAAAAAAGAGAAAAAGCTGCTGATGGCATTGTCATAGCAACCAGTGACTGGAAAGGTCTGAGGATGACGATGAAACTGACCGCTCAGAACAAACAGACCCAGATAAGGTTGTACCTTCTACCTCTGCCCCACCATCAAAGCTCACAGGAAGCCATGGAAACAGAAAGGACCAGAAAACAGGAAGCACATTGGAAATAACGCTCTTGATGAGGTTGTCAATAGTTCCCTGCAGATGCCTCACCAGTTTTTAGTCAAAGAACTTTCAGGAACTATGAAGAAGATCCTGGGATAGATAGGCTGGAGAGACGGCTCAGCGGTTACGAGCACCGACTGCTCTTCCAGAGGTCCTGAGTGCAATTCCCGGCAACCACATGGTGGCTCACAAACCATCTGTAATAAGGTCTGATGCCTTCTTCCGGCCTGCGAGTATATATGCAGAGCACTGGTACATAAAATATAAATAAATTAAATTAAAAAAGAAGAAGATCCTGGGGGCTGCAGTGTGTGTGGCTGCCACTCTCATGACATGATAGTGACATCAGCAGTGGCGCAGTGGCGCAGTGGAATGCTTCAGTAATTAAGAAGCAACAAGAGACAATGTTTCAATAAAAGATTACTGGACAAAAAAAAAAATTTCCTCTTGAATCCTAGATGACTCCAGTTTCTCAGTCAGTGCTGGGAGAGGCGAGGGGAAACTAGCCTTGGCCGAGCCACACAGGTCAGCTTGATTCTTTTAACAGGTGAGGCTGTTCGAAACCAGCCAACCGTCAAAGAGGGTAATGATGGGAAAGCCTGGTGAGCCTTGAAGCCAGGCAGTTCAGATCTCAAACAGTGTGAGCATCATAAAATGTCAGCACATTTCTGAAGGACAGACTTAGAGTGAGCCCCTGAGAATGGAAACGTGTAGCTCCAAATTGTTGATGGCAGATCAAATTTGCTGGCCCTGGTGTTAAACAGAGCATGGTGTGTTTGCAAGCCCAGGAGGTACTGTGTATCTACAACCCAAAGAGACATGGTGTGTCTCCAAGCCAAGGAGGCAAGGTCTATCTGTAAGCAAATGAGCATCGAGAACTCCCAGCTCAGGGAGACGCCTATGCTAGACTCTCCTAGGTGGTTCCAGAAGCGATTAACCTCATCAACACATGGTTTCAGATGTCTGCTCTCCAGAACTGTGAGAAAATAAAATTTTTCTGAAGTCATCTGAAGCACCACAGTCTGGTGATAAGAGCCTTGAGAAATGAATACAATAAGAGATTTGCACTGAATTTTCTATCTTTTTTTTTTTTTTTAATCTAGCTTTAGTCTGGACTCTGTCTACCCTGGGATGACATCATTTCCTTCTCAGGAAGCCATGCACATTCATTCCTTTTCTCATTACCATAACCAAACATCTGGCAATAAGTAACTGAAGGCAGAAAGGAGTGATTTTGGCTCATGGCTTGATACAGTCCCTCACAGCTGTGACAGAGGGAGCGTGAGGCTGCTTGCTCACATCTCTGTGGGCCCGGAAAAAGAGAATGCAGGCACTCATCTTACTTCCTCCCTTCCCCTCTATTATTCAGTCTACACCCCGAGCCACACATTGGACCAAAGACACACATTCAGGATGAGTCCTCCTATGACCTCTAGACACACCCTCCCAGACACTCGGAGGTGACAATGGAAGTTAACTGTCACATCACGCACCGTCTCTTAGTTGAAATGCTCTAACATCCCATGGAAACCACTGTGCAGCAGGTCCTCCAGCCTCTGGCTGCTGGTCGTCCGTCCCTCCTACCTATCCAGGGTTTCTCTCCCGGTCTCTCTCTGTCTTTCGATATCTCTCTTTCTCTCACCGTGCCTCTCTGTCTCTGTCTGTCTCTCTGTCTCTGTCTGTCTGTCTATCTCTCTCTCTCTCTCTCTGTCTCTCTCTCTCTCTCTCCATCCCCCCCGCCCCCCAGCAATGCTTTGATCATTCTGCCTTGGCCTGTCTGCCCCGGCTGCTCCTCTTCTGCTCCAGCAAGCAGCACCTGTGCCAACAGCAGCCACCTGGCATTCCTGAACTGCTTGCCCCCACATCTGGAGGGGAGAACTAGCAATTCCCTCAAAAGGCTCTAAGAAATAACTGACAAATCCTTTCCAGATGGGGAAATGTTCCCCAGGGCAAAGAAGCTCTGATCTCAAGCCCTGTCTGTGCCAAAGCTGGAGAGAGGTTCTGCTGTCCAATTCTAATTTCCCCAGCACCGCCCGCCCCACGTCAGCTCGGCTCACCCTAGCCTGGGCCAGTTCTTCTGGTTTCTCTGAGAGCGCCTTCTTCATGTCTCTCCGAGAATGAGTGTCTCAAAATATCTTTTTTATCATCGTTTCATCCCATTTAGTCAGCTCTGGCTAGCCAGCTTAGCATTAGCCAGAAAAACTGGAGTGACTGATAAATCACCTAAGCCAGGCAAATAGTTACACTTGGGGCCTCGATTACTCATTTGAAATGCTAATATCATAGTAGCTACACCTGTCTTTGTTTTTAGGCTATGCATCACTTCTCCATCAAGAACCCAAATGTGACTTTGATTTATAACGTTTTTTGGTTTTTTTTTTGGTTTTTTTTTTTTTTGGTTTTTCGAGACAGGGTTTCTCTGTGTAGCTTTGCGCCTTTCCTGGAACTCGCTTTGGAGACCAGGCTGGCCTTGAACTCACAAAGATCCGCCTGCCTCTGCCTCCCGAGTGCTGGGATTAAAGGCGTGTGCCACCACCGTCCGGCTTTATAACATTTTTTATTTGATTTGTAGTACTGGGGCTAGAACCCAGGGTTTCACAGCTGCTGAGCAAGGGCTAGGCCTCTGAGATAGGTCACCAGCTCTTCTTTTTGATACAAATATATCTTGCTCTGTAGCCCAGGCTGATCTCAGATTCATGACACTCCGCCCTTATCTTCTGGAGTGATGGGGTTGCAGACATATGACCACAGGCCTGGTTTTTTGTTTGTTTGTTTGTTTGTTTAGTTGGTTGGTTGGTTGGTTGGTTGGTCGGTCGGTCTTGTTTGTCTTTAAACAGCACATGAAACACCAGGCTAGATAGATAATGCGCCCAAAGCTGTGAGTGTTGTTATAAACTTAGAGGACAAGTTAAAGTCACTAAGAATAGCTGTGCTACCAACACTTTGAAGGAGAACTTAGTCATGAGCTGTTAGCTCTTTTATAAATGACCAAAATTAATATCAATCACTAGTGATAAAAACAAATTTTAGGCTTTAAAGCGCTTGCTTGGACAATTTTGAAAGACTTATAAAAGATCAAACTAGTTTCCATGGGCTAAAATGTCTTCCTCTGCATGGCCAAATGTCAGACATGATTGTGAGGTAGGATGTTAGGAGCCTCTGAACTTCAGAGGCTGTCAGTCCCCTGCTACAGAGACCGGAGACTGATGCTCGGGGGAGATTAAATGATTTGCTCGGGGTCACACAGCTGGGAAGTGACAACCAGGCCCAAAGGCTGGGCTCTCAGAGCAAATCCACTGCAACCTATTGGCCTCACCCAATCCAAGTTCCAAATGGTTTCCTGACCCAACAGTTGGCAGCCACATGGGCAGAGCAGAGAAGTCACAGTATGGAAACCAGACACCGCCCACTCCTGTCTCCAGGCCTAATGAGGCAGCTGTGGGGAGACCATTTCGCTTTCCGTCTTTATTACATCAAGATCCAGCAGTTATCTATCGGCTATTGTCTTTCTCTTCCTCCCCCGGGCCTCTCCACCACCAGCCCACCACCTCCGTTCCCAACTTTCCTCCCCTCCGTTATTCCTCGTTAGGCTGACTGACCAAGATGAAGAGCCGGTGTGGTCCTGGAGGTCCTGGAGGTCCTGAAGGCGCCGCCTTTGTTGTCTCTAAGCCACTGGAATTTTCAAACTTCATGCTAAGACAGCAGTTTGTGTTTTTTTTCCATACTTACCCAGCTGAGACATCACGGTCACATCCTCTTCACCGCAAGAGTCAGGGACACACACACCCACACTATAGTCTGCTCCATCCTGGGAAACACAATGCCACAATGCCCTTTAATGTTAGTGCTTACAGTATACACACATGCCTGTGTGTGTGTGTGTGTGTGTGTGTGTGTGTGTGTGTGTGTGTGTGTGTGACCTACTCTGATAGCAAAACCATTCATCTGAAAATGACCCTTAAACAGTCATCCAGACCTTCAGTGGGGCAAATGAGGCCCAGGAACCACACCCCTGTCTCCATGGCTAACTGCTGGAAGGCTCGTAGAGCACCAGGGACAAGGAGCCCGTTTCCTTCCACTTCAGACTGTGCTTTCCAGCCAGACAGCAATGTCATTTTATTTCAGCTGTGTGTGACACATGTCAAATCAATTTTGTATTTAATAAAAGGTTGCGTGATGCCTAGGTTTCTATCTGAGCAAAGGATTGATATGCTTTAAAGGTAAGTCAAACCAATTGTAATCAGTGAGCTATTTAAAAAGAATTTTTTTTAAAGGACACTAAGTTGGGAGAGGGTGGGGATGGGAGGTGGATCTGAGAAGAGTTGGGGGATTGAAATATGTTGTTTTAATATATGAATGTATGAATTATGAAATTCTCAAAAATACTAAAATTTTATATTATTTTAAAAAGATAGAGTGAGCCCGAAAATGTTAGTCAGCTGGGTTAGTGGGTATTCAAAAACTACAGCTCATCTGCTTGGATCACTCAAATTCACATTCAGAGCTCCATTTCTGGGGCCAGGGCTACAGGTAACTGGACTCCAGGTGCTGCTCCAGAAATTGATGCATTCAGGGGTTCAAGCTCAGTCACTAGGTTCTGACCCTCTTGGTTTGATCCACACTCCACCGAGCAATGGCTGCTTCCTTGGTAGAAAGGATATAAAGTTGAAATTTGCAGGGTTAGGTGGGGTAAGAATTCTGAAAGCTGAAATATGGCAGAGATCCCCCCACAGGACCCCAATGGAGTAAACTGAGATGGGCAGAGAGACCTACCAATAAGCCCAAAGATGGAAGATTGCTCTTCAAATTACTGGCCACCTTTGACCTTGGATCCTCCACTTAAAGGTCAGCCAGGAGGTCTCTTCCAGTGTGGAGGGAGGAATATCTGGACAAGCCTACGTGGTTTTTGACAAGGGCGTCCTATGTCACTCATTCCAAAGAGGTTGAATATATTAAACCAACTATTAAAATAATGTTTCAGCTGGGCATGGGGGTGGATGCCTAAAATCTCAACACCTGAGAGAGAGAGCCCAGAGCAGCATTTCTCAATCTGTGGGTTGCAACCCTTTGGTGGGGCGCAGGGCAGGGAGGGCGCCCTTTCACAGGGGTCTCATATCATATACCCCGCGTATCAGATATTTACATTATGATTTATAACAGTAGCAAAATGACAGCTATGAAGAAGCAATGAAAATAATTTTATGGTGTGTGTATGTGTGGAGGGGAGAATCCACAACATGAGGAACTGTTTTAATGTGTCACAGCATTAGGAAGGTTGACAAACCACAGGCCTAGAGGATCAAGAGTTCACAGTTCAAAGTAGGGCTAGGTTGCAAGTTCCCGGTCAACCTTTTCTACATAGAGAGATCTTGTCTCAAAGAAGCAGAGGATCACCGCTTCTGATGAGGCCTCTTAGTGTCTTTTTGTGGTTTCAGTTAGGAAAAGCAATTGATGGAGTCACATTCTGATATGTATCTTACATGCTGAGAGCACACGGGTCCCCTCCACTCACCTGCAGCAGATGAAGCTTGCAGTACTGGCCTCGGAATCTTCCCTCGGGGCCCCGGGTGGAAAGGCACTCGCTGTAGGATCCCAACCTGTCCAGGTTGCCACTAAGAACGTTGCTTCCAAGCTTCCCCACCGAGTCATACACTGCATTCCAAAGCAGAAGTGTGCAAAATTAGTGTCCTTATGCCACTTGGAAATGAATTATGAGGACTTGAGTTTGAATCCCCAGAGCCCATGTGAAAAGCTTAGCTGGGAGCCTGTACCTGTAACTATGTGTGTGGGTTTCAGCAGAAGCCAGAAGGAGGCTTCTGATCCCCTGAAACTGGAGTTACAGGCAGTTGTGAGGAATTCTGGTTTTCTGAAAGACCAGCAAGTGTTCTTAACCTCTGATCCATCTCACCCGCCCCTTCTCATTGCTCATAATAATCTTAATTTCAGCTCTGTCTGGACACACGGGGGTAGATTTCTTTAACATATCTTGTTCAGTGTTCTGTGAGCCTCATCCCCCTTTCATCCTGGAGAAAGCATGGCTGTTTCTTGTTCAATAGTCTTTCCTTCCCTTTGTTGAATTTCTATGTCTGGTTCCTATTATCATCTGAGCATAGTCATTTTAATCCCCGTCTCTTTGCTTTTCTTTCTTTTTTCCTTTTCTTTATTTTATGTGCATTGGTGTTTTGCCTGCATGTATATCTGTGTGAGGGCATCAGATCCCCTGGAACTGGAGTTACAGACAGTTGTGAGCCGCCATGTGGGTGCTGGGAATTGAACCTGGGTCCTCTGGAAGAGCAGCCAGTGCTCTTAGCTGCTGAGCCATCTCTCCAGGCCCCTTCTTTTTTTTTTTTTTTCATTTTCCATATATTCATCTTTTCTTGTTCTATTTTGAGAGGCCTATTGAATTGAGCTAGCTCACCAAATTTTCTTCACCTCTATCCATCTCAATATTTACTCTATGGACTATGGATCAGCTGCAGTATTTTCACTCTCTTTAATATCCAACAGTTCTCAACTTTACATACACATGCATATGCGTAACTTCGTATTACCAGTATTCTTTCATCACTCCGATCATGTTTATCTGCTTATTTTATTCCTCGTCAGCCCATCGGCTCCAGTGATTTAGTTCATGTAGCACACAGATTTGTTTCGTTCACTTTCACTCCTCCCTGTGTTTGCCCCAGGGAGTTCTGTGCTGTGGCCTTTGCACACTCCTTCCCTTTGTTGAGGACAGTGAGGGATGTGTGCAGCCCAGGCCCCAGCTGGACCCTCCCCTCAGGATTTTAAGGACTGTAAAGACAGAAGATTGTAACTGTCCTCGAAGGAATGAAACACCAAGTCCACGTCTGTGGCGTTGGAGAGGTGGCTCCACAGCTCAGAGCACCGGGGTCCAGAGGACCCGCCTTCAACTCCCTGCACCCACATGACAGCTTGTGATTGTCTGTAACTCTAGTTCCAGAGCATTCGAAGTCCTCTTCTGGTCTCCTCCTGCACTGCGTGCATGGGGTGCAGAGACATGCAGGCCAAACACCCATACACATATAATCAGTTTTTAAAATTTAAATTAAAAAAAAAAAAACTTCTGACATGTGGTCCCATCTCTAAAATATTAGGAGACGCTTGTGCCCCTCCCTTCAGCTACCAGACAACTGAGACAGTGGACGGTGAGAAATCAGAGTTTTCCCAGGGAGCTCAGGCTAGGAGAAGGAAAAGGCTGAGCTGAGCAACAGCCACCGGGAGCTCGTCTCCTGGAAAGAGATTTCGCACAGCTGGGAGCTCGTTAGACCACCTTGCTGGGGGGTCTACAGCAGGGAAACCGTGAGCAGGACCATTTGACCCAGACCCTGAGCTGTGCACACCGTTTACCTCCCATTTAAATCTAAACTTTGTATGAGGACCCTGAAGATGGGCTGCGGGGGCAGAGGGAGAGCAGACCACTGGACCACTTGGCTCCTCTTCCCAGAGTGGCTACACTGAGTACTTTGCTTCTCACTATGACTTATCTGTTCCTTGAGACCAAGCTTTGTCCCATTCTAAGTTACTCCGCATTGTGTAAAATGGTGTTTTCCCAGGATGTGCCTTGCCCCGAGAGACTCCATTTTGCAAGCAGCTTTTGACTTCATTTTGAAGACGGAGGGTGATTGTACTCCTGGGTGGATAAGTGAACACATGCACACACAGAGAGACACACATGCACATATGCACACGCAGGTATACACACACACACACACACACACACACACACACACACACACACACACTCCACCGGACTCCAGGCACAGCATGCAGAATCCAGGGGCTTCTCACAATGCTGACATCAGTGTCTTAAATGTGGCTTGCCTACCTTCCTTCCTTCCTTTCTTCCTTCCTTCCTTCCTTCCTTCCTTCCTTCCTTCCTTCCTTCCTTTTATCCTTCCCTTTAAACAAAACAAGGTTTCAATAAGGCCTTCTTACAGGCTAGGCAAGCATATGTCCTAGCCCCTTTTCTTTGTCTTTATTCTAGCTCCAGATGGTTTTTTTTTTAATTACACTCTATTCATTTATTTGTGGGAAGGGGGTAAGGCATGAGGAGGTCAATGGAGGTCAACGGTGATGCTTGGACAAGAATATTTCCCAGGTGATACTAATATGCATCCTTGTGTGACTTCCCTGGCCACTAAGATTCCTCTTGGACTCCTGAGCAGGGCTTCAAGGGGCCCTTCATGCCCTGACTTGCCCTCTGGCCTCATCCTGCCAGCCACAGTCAGAACATTCCCTCTGCTCCAGTCTAGAGGTGCCCTGGGCTAACACTTGTCGACCTTCCGGCTTGGGTAGTGCTTCCTCCCAGTCCGCTGGAAATAACCGAGTCATCCTTCAAGTCTGGACTAGAAAGCTCTCTCTCCCAGGAAACAATGCAGACTCTTGCTCAGTGTGTCACACTGAAAGATATGTCACTGTGTCCTGTCTGTCTCCCATGAAGGTGAAATTGGGCCCTGTGTTAGCCAGTGTACGTCTTAGAGAAAGCGCTTTGTGGATGTTGGCCCAATTGGACCAAACTTTGACAAGGTTAGTCCAAATGCCCAAATCCAGCTCCAAAAGATTATTCGGAGGTTTTCCCTGAATCCCAGAATACCAGATGTGTTCATTACAGCTAGACTAGAGTGGTTTTCAAATTACGTTTCCTATCACAGAATCTCCCAAGCTTTGTGCCCTGAAGTGTAAGGGTCTGGAATTGTAAGAGCAGCAAGGAAGGCAACAGGATGGATAACCCTACTGAGCTTTAAGCCCTTGGGGCAGAGTCTGCAAGGCACATGTCCTGGAGTCCCCGTCGGCTTCCGTTCTTGCTTCCTCTCCTGATCGCTTTGATGGTTTTCCCAGCTAAGCTGCTCCGGTTTTCAAATTGCATTGCGCTCCTTTCTGATCATGGGCTCACACGGACAAACTGCCCATCTCTGGCCTCCACCCTACTGAGATGCCGTCGAGAACCTAAGTGACACCAGGACATAGGCACGGGCCAGATCAACATGCTGTCACAGGGAGGGAGGAATGGATCAGGACGAAGGGCACAATGCTGCACATCACCACACTTGTTCTGAGTTTTCATGTCCAAATGACTAAAAGCAACATGTTCAAATCAGCTGTGCTAACTGGCAGATGCTTCCTTCTCCTGCAGTGGTGATGACATGTGGATATTAAAATGCAGTTTCTGGGTTTGTTTTCTCACAGTTCTGGGATCAAGCCCAGGGCCTGGTACAAGTGAGGATGCACCCTACTACTGAGCTATTTTTGACAAGGTTTCTCTCAATGGCCTAAGGATCTCATCCTCCTGCCTCCGTTCCCTAACTACCTGGGATTATAGACACATGCCTCTATCCCCAAAGTGTGGGGAATTGCAGCGTGCATCACCATGCTCACCTGGGATGTGGATATCTTTCGGGATAGAGCACACTATCCCACCACAGTATGGATGCTTTGTTATTAATTTATGAAGAACTTTTGGTTGTTGCGGGGGACGGGGGGCAGGGGGCTGGGAACTGAACCCAAAGACTTTCATGAGCTGAATAAGCATTCTGCCACCAAGCCAAACCTTCAGTTCTGCATGGATGTTTGATAGCCACAGAACCTAGAACTTTCTATGGGATCTACTACATCACCCTCTTTCTAGTAAGAGATTTTATTGGTTTCTGTGGTGTTGGTCCTGAGCAAAAACAAACAAACAAAAACCTTTCCAATAGACAGCTGGGTCGGTAAAATGGGCACGATCCAAACTCTGAACAGTCAAATAGATTGGCTGGACCATACCTCTACTGGTAGAGTTCTTGCCTAGCAGATGGAAGGCCCTAGCTTCAAGCCCCAGCACCACACACACACACACACACACACACACACACACACACACACACGCAAACAAACAACACAACAACAAAAATGCCCATGCTGTGGTAGACCTCAGCAGGCTTCTTTACAAAGTCCTAGCTCAGATTGGTGCCGCCCTTCGTAATGTCTACTATGGACTGCCTCCTCCGACAAGGGTCCCCTGGGGGGGCTGGGTGTCGAGGAAAGAGTTGAGGCATACAGACAAGATAAAACAGAAAATGAATGATAAAGCCAAAGAGACAACAGAATCCAAATGGGAAGCTGGGCATCCTGTCATAGTGCGGGCTAAGAAACTTGAGGCAGGGCCCAGGGATGTGCAGGGTTACGAAATGTTTTAGAGGTAAAGTGCTGTTTTGGAAAGCTGTGAAGATGAGATGATCAGAAGCCAGACAAGAAAAGTACTGCAGATTGCTTGAGAACTTCTGCCTAAGCCTCCCACCCCCCCAACTCTGTCTGGAGAAACAGCAGGGAGGCCAGGTCAGAAGTCTGGGGGTGTTCACGTGGTATAGCTTCCACTCAAGGCCTCGGCTGTGGACAGCATCAAGAATGGGCAAGCTTGGACTTTGAGAAATGGCTGCAAGCAGCACCACTGTATTTTAGGCCCGGGCCCCTCACTAGAGATATGTGGGCTTCTGTTCTTCCACACCAGATGATAAACACATGATTTAATTCGGCAGAGTGTGTTTGGGAGGTCGGAGCAGTCGGTATTAGCATCTGTCTTCCTGTTCCATAGCTATCTTAACAGTCCCCACACCCAGAGTAGCTTAAAGCTTAGAAATCCATCCTCTGCTCCT